TATCTCTTCACAGAATGACACCAAATTCTAGATAACTTGGTTAAAATAATTAGAGCAAGGTTAGATGTCAGCTATATTTTATTTTCTCTGCAAACATGGCAGCAAGAGAGAGTTGCTATCTACCAATGACCTTCACCATCATATCCCATTTGAGCAGACGGAGTGAGAGTGAGTTTTGTTTCACAACAACACTTTCAGCAATATTCCAGCAATTATATCACTGTGGGGGACACCACAAATGGGCTTCAAACATTGTACCCATGTGGGGAATCAAACCTGAATCTTCAACGTGAAGAGCGAACGCTTTAACCACTAGGCTACCCCACCGCCCCTTGAGTAGATTGATGCTCATGATATCAATCGCTGGACTGACTGATCCAGTCCCATAGCTGGAATACTGCACATTTCAGCTTCAAACAAAAACCAATCAAACAAACCTACAGCAAAAAGAGGAAGTCCTTCGAGAATGTTCCTTGACTCACGATTATTTTGAACCCTGATTTGGGAAAGCCATTCAAAATGTTTTTCTGACTATGACTGTCTAAACTGTCATTCTGTCGTTTAAAAAAATAAATCAGTAAATGCAAGGTACAAGACTAAAACAATTAATGCAAAGAACAGATATGTTTGTCCATAAGGAAAGGGTATAAATGTACATGAGATACCAGTGCTTTACCAGTCTCAACTTAGGCCAAATAAAAAAAAATGTTGTGGTTCCGATTACATCTCTTTAAAATTTAGGGTAGGTACAAACTAATTTATTAATGTGTAATTGTTTATTCAATCAAGCTTGCGGCCATCAGAATGACTTTCTCTATCAAAATGACCGCTATCTGTTGGGGGCTGGCAAAAAATAATGGGATCTGAAAGCATATTATATTCACTCCGCTTAAAAAAATAGGGTCGGCACCAGAATTCAAGGGTCGGTCGGGTAATCAACCACAACATTTTTTTTAGGCCTTACTGTGGGTGTTTTTTAAACAGCTCTATTTCCACAGTGAAAGGAGATTGATAAATTGGTTCACCCCATATGAATACCTAGCCACATCCAAATTCAAATATACATCGCTTCACATATATAAAACATATAAACTAAACCTAACATTCAAATCACCAATGTCCAACCTCAACGGATATACATCAAGGCTACACGACAGTTGCTAAAGACATAGACAGTTTGAGGTATAGATTGCTGTTAAGCCCTTTCAGTGTTTGCATACCAAAGTCAATAAATCATTGACTGCATGTAGTAAATGCTTCAATCTTGACAGATCACATTCTATTAACAACTTATTGTATCCAGATCTTCCATACTTGTACATTATGTAATGGCTAATCAAATACAACCACATGATAGTCATGACTGTAACTTTTGGAAGACTCACTGAAAGACTTTCCTCTGCATACAAGTTATACATTATTCAGAGGTCAAGTTACTAGTTTTGGGAATTGGTTAAAATCTCATAATTGATGATTGGTTCATTACTACTGATCAATCATTGAAAATAATTGGTTAGCGTCATTTATTAAATTTGTTAATGCACAATAAAATAAGGAAACAAACGTAGTTATTTTTGTTTTTTGGGGCAAAATTCCACATCTTTAAAGGATGACTAGTATGTCAGGAACATAAATTTCTTGGTATCTTTAAGATAAATTCAATGATGACTTGGAATGAGCTTGTAGTGCTTATGAAATGTAACAGACAAAACCAACCTTGTGAAAAATATTGTTGATGAAAACAAGTATTCCAGAATTGTTTGTGTTTGATTATGAGAAAACATGATCGATTGCTTGGTCGTTTAGTCACTGTGACCAATCTTCGATTATTTCAATTAATCTGATCACCACTACCAGTTGCATACATACAGAACCTTGTTGGGAAGGGGTCAGGAACAGGAGAGTAGGGTCAGGAAGAGGAAGTAGGGTCAATGTAAACTCTTTAGAAACCAAACTTGTCAGCAAAACCATTAGGTATTCTGAACAAGTGTGAGTTTCAATATTCCAAAATATCTTGGCGAAACCAAGAACTCTTTTAACAAAACCATTATGGTTAGCCATTTGCAATTTTAATAAGAATTCTACAAAGATGTTTTCCAAGAGAACAGTGAAATGAAATGGAGACTGCGGATACTCACTCCATTCTTGCATCGATGCTGAGACCCATAAACAGGCCTAACAGTGAATGAGTGAGTGAGATGAGTTTTAATGCCAATTTGAGCAATACTCAAACTATCAAGACAAGGCAGCTGAATGTAGGTGGGAAAAAAAGCTCGAAGAATTGCAGGTCTCAGATATTTACTACTTTGGAGAAACCAGCAAGCATGGGTTTGGTGGTTAATAATCTCTAAAACCTAATCATGGAGAGCAGGGATTTGAATCCACAATCATGGCGTATATCAAACTGACTACTGGGCCACCCAAGCCCCTCCACAACAATATATGACTCACTATGACACGACAATCTCATCTCTTTAATCATGTATATCTGATTAACTTCAATGTGAATGCATGGTCAACTTCACAGATGAAATAATTAAATATTAACAAACAACCAAATCATGAACTATATCATCTCTCAGCTTCATGGTAATGTTACATCAGTCTTTTTCTGACACAAGCGTTCAAAATTTAAGAGGGGTGGGGAGAGGAGGGGCCGAAAAAGAAGGTGGTGGCTATCTAGGAGGCTTGCTGTTACAGTATTTCAATCCAGGAGATCTCGTAAATCTTTAACTTTTAAACATTGGTGTAATGATGGACCCCTTGACTTTCATGATTAATTTACACAAGGAAAGAGGCACTTCTGTTTCATGATATGCTCATACCACAGTCAAATATGAAGCTAATGGAGCTGATTAGTCAGAAGAGCTGCATTATATCAACTTAATCTAGTTACCAGTTTAGTCAGAACTACAGAACCAAACTAAGAATGTCAAGGGTAAATTTCTCACTCAAACAAAAAGCATAGGCACAATATCACAAAATATATATCCAGTTCTTCATGACTCTGACAAAATAACTTTTCCCATGATCACAACGAAGACCTGGGTTTGATTCAGAAGTCATTTCTGGTGTGTGTGTCAGATATTGCTGGAATCACTGTCATGACATTGGCGTAAACCTACATGCTCACAGATTTAGGGGATCCCTAGATTCAAATACCACAGAACACCTTCAGGATCCCAGGATCCAATTAATGTTAAACACTGTACAACTGAAACAATACACATAAATAGGCCATTTACTTAGCTCATAATTTCTTCCAAATCATGACCATTGAACTTAATCTACGATACTGTATATGGTGTCTACTATTATCATATTCTGGACAAAACCTACACTTTATCCACACCTCATATATGGTTTAGAAATAAATCCATAGCTCATGAAAGTCATGATGTCTTATCAGCTAACAACCATTTTGACTTGGCATGAAAACAGCTTGTCATGTCTAATCCATATAGTTTACATCATTCATTAAGCATGATGTCTAGGATATCAGCATTCATTCCCATCATTAGTGTCTGTAGATCCATGCTATACTCAATTATCTGAAGACAGTTACAAAGTATTTTGAGAGAAGGCAGAAATTCTGGCTTTGTGGAAACTTAGTTGTGTTATCACTCTTTAGATATTCGGGGCTCATTCTAGCCTTGATCTGTGTAAACCTATCCTTCATCCTAGCTGAACTACAAATGGAATTTGACAAACCCCATCCTCTGAATCACCCTCAATCTTATAAGTGCCCCAGCTCTGCAACAAGTAATTAGCAAGCACCTGCACCAGCGTCCTCATTAATTACTATCACCCAGCTCTGACACTAGCCCGAAACACTTGCTCCAGATGGTCCAGAGCTTGCACTCCACATCATTATACTTTGATGAAAAATTTACTTCTTTAAAGTTCAAAAGACTTACATCTTAAACATCTCTCAAACTCCAGGTGGGAATGATCAGATTATGGTAAAGAATGACTTTATCTTTTGTTTTGGCGGTAAAAATTGCCAAACACTGTCAGCTCGCTTCATCCAACTGTGAATAAGTGAGTGAATTGGGTTTATAATTGCTTTGAACAGCATTGTAGTTAGAACACTTGGAATTAGTTTAATGTGGGTGGAGAGATGCAGGTCTTAGATATTACCACCTTAGATGAAACCTATGAACACGAAGTCATCATTCTGTTTGCATCTGCACCACATGTGAAATGATATTGCTGATACAGCATTTCTTCTTTCTAAACAATTCATATGTGTGGACAATTACATGAAATCATACTGTACCACAGTTTGAAATTACTGTTGAACATGTTGAAAATCTTGACAGATTCAGAGCAAACACCACCTAACCCTATCATTCTAAACAACTGATGATGCTGGATTACTGGTCATATTAACTTTGGAACTTCCTTCCTTAGCAGGATTAATTGCAATTTTCCCAGGAACTGGTATTGAGCAGTAAGTCGATACAAAAAGTAACCTAAAATACCCAATTTAAGGCTTAAGATTTCCCAATAGTATGGTTACTTGCTGATCAATTTGATACAGATCAAACGTACAAAATCCAATATGTTAAGTCCAGAAAAAGTCGTAAATACATCTTATTCTGGAGGCATAACTTTTCCTAATATAGGGTTGGGGAAATGCAGATTTTTCCCCTATTTATTCTGCAAAAGGCATTAAGTTAAAATCACATGTGAATCTCTGCTGTGGTTTCCCATAGAATTTAGGAAAAAGGATCTGTTTTTTCCCCATTCAAACCAGATTCAACATGGAAGATTTAGTGGATAAGAACAATACAATCAGTAACAGCCAGTATGGACTTCTCAAAAGGATGTTAGAAAAATATGGGTGTCTCTTGTTTAATATTTAATCACAACCTTGAAATAGTCAACAAAACCAGTTGTTGACATAACCTGGAAACTAGTTGATAGCTAAACTCCTACTCGGTAGATATCATGTATAAATATATATTAACATTTTCATGCACATCAAAAATACTTGCCCAAGAAACAACTCTTCCATTGAAGCAAGGCAGGTGTGCCTCATCATCAATTATTTCTTCTTTAACAACGCTGAAATCAGAAAAAAAATGTATAGTTTTCCCAAACACACTGACAGGGAGAGCCCTGATCTGATTTTCACTTTGATTTTAAACCAAGATTTTTTTTCGATGGCAGAGTAAACATGCTCATTTGTGAGGCTAGGAATGCTTATCTTAATAAAAGCACTGTTTTGAGGTGCTAGGTTCTGTCACTAGTGTCAGGTCTACTCCTATTATTTGAATCTAGGGACATTGTAAAGCTAATAATGTACCTTTATAACATCAGGGGCTATATCAAACAGCTTAACTTACAACACAGAACAAGAATCTCAAATATGCACAAAAAGCACCATTGTAAAGAACAATGAATTGTAAATGTATGTAACATTCACTTTCATGATATGACCATCACTGTCACAGACATTAATGTATACCTATTTTACAACAGTGTTTGTCACTCAACTGTCTATTTTCGTGTAAAAGTATTTCATATTATCAACTGACAAACAATAGTTACAATTCAAATGTAACTTGTAAGTTTGAACATAAACTGTTTTAACCACTAGTACTAATCATATAGATATTCTGGATGATAATTCAATTTATTAGGTAACAACTGAACATATGGTGACAGAGCTCATATACTAGTCATGCTGCAAATATAAGAAACCTGGATACTTTTCCAACAACACTGAACAATATTGGACCTATGGGTTCTGCCAGCTTGATTATCTGAGACATTTATGAATGTTGTTTGAAAATATCTCAGTGTGATCTCTGCCACAACAGATTTTCTTCATTTGCTGATAACAACACATGATGGGTGAAGACCTATGTTGCTAAAGTTTGCTTTTCTGAAAGCAAAACCATAATTTCCTCAAATTTAACACATATTTCTACTCATTAAGAAACCACTATCATACAAATCCATACAAAACATGTTTTGATACGAACAGATGTGAGATAGTCATAAGGTATTCAAATGCACAAGCAGATTAATCGGTAGAAATGGTCAATTGTCTACAAAGAAGAAACTTATAAAGTCAACACTGACATAGGAAAATGGAAAATGAATGCGTCTGTAGCAAGGATTGTACAGCTTCTTTTATATTTCAGCCAGCTTCCTATACAAATGGCTTGCTGTCAGAGAACATCGAAGTTCATTCATAAAAACTGCAGCTTAGTTCCAGCATGTGTTTTTGGCGTTTCTGGAAAATGGGCTTTATTTCCTGCGTTCAAATCATATGCACAATAAAATTAAGATACTAGTGACGCACACTGCTGCCTGTCGTTAGGATTCACGATTGTCGATTATCCAAGAACTTACCCAAAGTCATCATCCATAGACTTGAAAAAGAACTTGTAGTTCGGGCGGTTGAGAGCATTTTTAAAATCCCCTAATGTGACGCGATCGGCCGGGACGGGAAGCTTTATAAGATATGGAGTATCCTCATCGTCTATATGGTAGATGATTTTCGTCTCCCCCATCCCGGAGGAAGCACGGAAACAACTAATATCCCGATGGTGATCTTGGATGAACAACAAAATGGCGACCAAATATTTTCCCAATGTCTCTCACTGTCTGTCAGAAAGAGGCTCGACGGGGAAAGAAAGGTCTCACATCCATCTCCGCACACGGCTCTTGATTCAAGTGCAATTTAGTTTTGAACCAATTGCAAAGTAAGTCTTTCCAAAGAATATGAAAATACAATGCACAAAATCACTTTTTACACCAAACAGACTAACTGCACATTGTGTCGTGTTTTCTTCGGAAATGAAAGCCAGCTCCGCACTAGCCTCGGTGCATAGTAATGCAATACCTCCAAGTATTGATCAAATTTTGCACCAATGTAGCTTGATCGAAATGATCGTATGTGCGATGAAAACTTTTCTATGTGTGAAAACTGTACGCAGCTACCGATTTCACTTGCGATCAGGCCTCCAACTTTCGCGAAAGATGTAGTATAAAATATAGGATGTGCACTATTAGTAATCAGTGGGGGTCGAACAAAAAACGGAACAGCCGTCAACAAGACTAGGGCCTCAGTTATCCATCTGTACTTCCGAAACGTTGTCTGTATGATCGAGTGACACTTCATCCCGGACTCGCGCACCTGCCGCTGAATAAAGATGTTATTTTCAACGTGTTAAAAAATACATATATATATTTTTCTGAAACCTATTGTGTGTTCATCGCGAGAAACTAAGATTTAGGTTTCCTCAAATGAAAGTTAGGTTTATTGATAATAATAGTAACTGCGGAGCTGCGAAAGGTTTGCTGACCTATCCTTTAGGAAGAAAGTTGATGTTTGAAGTGTCAAAATTTTACGAAGAATAACAACGATCCGTCCCTTTCCCCTTAAATCAAAGTAAGTAAAACTTTAAAATTTACAGTGTTCCTTCAAGTAGCACTACTGAAATGTCCATTGTTGTTGTCATTTTGTCACTAGATGCGAAGGTATGTACGATAAGTAGGCTGATTCTTAGGTCCTGTTTCACTGTTTAGATACTACGAGTTGTCAATAAGACATGTTTCGCACATGAGCTACCGATAATTTTGTGACACTAGCATACCCAACATGCTATTATGGTTACTGCTCTTGTAGATCAGGTCTATCATACTGGGTTTAGTGACCAGTCCAAAACTGTTAGTCTTGGATCTAAAATTCTCTAGGATAGTGGAGTCTGTTAACTAGTGTAAGGTAAGAAAAAGGGTACTTCTTGAAGACTCCGGATCAAAAGTGGTCTCTTGTAAGCTATGAATTTGTAAGATGCTACTTAATGGATTGGGTAGTCAGACCTCGTGACCTGGTTGATTCACATAACCTTACAACGTGTATTGTTGCTTAGAATATCAATCACAGGATAGTCTTGGACAGATCTGACTGTTTATAGGCTGTCCTCTCAACTGCACTCAGTAGTAAGAACATCAGGGAACATATTAGGCTCAAATAATCAAGTGAAGTAATAATTTGCTGATAATACAATTCCCTATGGTAAAACCATCCTTTAATGAAGTAGAAATTTTATACACCTCATACATAGAATTGTTTTAAAGATTAGTTCAGTAAGCCTTAAGTCTGCTCTGGCTTAGATTTTCTAGGGGTCAGTTGGACCCCTTCATCATGATACTAGCTGTCCCCCCAGAATAATTGAGGGGTCCATTTTATAGCATTATAATATGGAAGTATTTAATCAACACACTGCACTGTCTTCAGATATTATTTTCCATCCATGTATATGCACACCCATCTCCAAGGGATTCAGTATTTTGAAGTTTCAAGTATAATTCACAGACAAGAAAAGTTCTTCATATTCCTTCCATGAGTTCAGGTAGAAATCTGTCGTCAAACACATATTAACAAACATAGGTTTATAAAAATTGAAATATGTGATGAAACGTCACTAGACACAATGATTTACCATATAACCTGTATCTAGTATTCTGCTAAACTACATGGTTATCTAACCTAAACAGTTATTTATGAGCTTTTGTGGTAAGGTTGGAATATTGACAACTTTGGCTTGCATAACTAAATAATATTCACTCTATGTTTTCACAGTTATTTGATGTTGCCCAGTAATGGAAGTTGGTCTACGAGTTGTGCGGGGACCAGACTGGAAGTGGGAAATCCAAGACGGCGGGGATGGCCACACTGGCACAGTTGTTGAAATCGGTAAACCGGGCAGCACAACATCTCCGGACAAAACTGTGGTCGTACAGTGGGACTCTGGTGCCAGAACTAACTACAGAGTAGGATATCAGGGTGCCTACGATCTTAGGATACTAGACAATGCTCCTACAGGTGATTATATTACAAGGATTATCTATGATTCCAAATCAAGTGCTTTTGGCAGGATAAATTGGGATTGAATGATTATTCTGTTCATAGTTTGGGCTTTATAAATGTTGATGTTTTTAGAAGTATCTTAACATAGCATTTGTTACAACCATGTGAAATTAAGACTCTTTCTCCTCTTTGGTTCTGTTGTAAGTCATTTTGATCAAGCCGTCACAATAGTTATAACCCTTTGAAATGAATAAGGAAACATTTGATTCAGATATTATTTTTACTGGAAATTGTTGAAGACTTGGGGCAGAATATCGAGCTCTGAGCAGGCCCTTGGAAAGATAAGTGTGAATACTTGAAATAATAATAAAATAATAACAATAGGAATAATGTAAAGACTGCACAGTATTGCCAGTAATACAAAATACCTTCTGTTCATTTTCTGATGCATTTTATATGGGTCTGCAGTTTGACACATTATGTTAATGTAAACAATTCTATTTCTTTGGGTTCTGTCAATAATGAAATATTTCTTGTTTGGCTATTTTAAGAGGAATATTATTTCTATGGATAATAACACAAACTTTTAGGCTTAATATCCTTAAATCCGAGAGAGCCATTTCAGTTGCAGTAGCTGTGTGCGAAATAGTTTCCAAATTTAGCTAGCCAGTCGAGCTAGCTATGCCTGAAAGTTACTAGCCCACAAAATAATTCACTAGCCCGAAATATAAATGTAGAAACTAAGCATAAGATTACAAAAATAGGTAAAATATTGTCGGCATGACACAGGTTTCATCATTAAGCTGCTAATATGATGAACATTTTTACCAGGCCATAATCTTGCATAATTTATAAGTGTATTATAACATAACAAGTTGGAGAATGTGATATATTTACAAAATGACCCCATGAAAATTCACTAGCCAGTCAGGCCAGTGACTGTGGAGATTTACTGGCCCGACTGGATTTTTACTAGCTGCGGGCTAGCGGGCCAGTTGCTATTTCGCACACTGTGCAGTAATAAGTTTCTTGTCATGGTTTTATGTACTACTCAGTCTCTGAATATTCTTTTGTTCATAACAAAGTATCTGAAACATGGTCAGGGAAGTGTATAACAGTGTTACAGAAATATTTTCCTGGTGTGTTTATCTGGATGTATGGGAAATGCACTGTTGTCAGCATGTATCCCAGTTTGATGACTGGTTATTTTATGACTTGAGACCCAAACACAGCCAGACCTTGTCTTGCACTACAAAAGTAAGGGTTAAAAGAACCCCCAGTTACTAATTTCAAAGGTCATTCCTGGAAATATCAGGGAAAAAATCTATGAAACCCTGAGAGAAACACTGATATCCCCATTACCACATGATAATTCTGTTTGTGTTCAAGATGTCATTTAACACTTTAACAATGGTGAGATCTAAGACACCTACGTTTACCTCCAGAACATAATCTGTCATTGTATCCCAATTGGGTGCTCATGCTGTTGATCACTGGATTGTCTGGTCCAGACTTGATTATTTACAGACTACCGCCACATAGCTGGAATATTGCTGAGTGTGGTGTAAAACTAAACTCACTCACTCACTCTTGAACATAATTGATACTTGAAGGGGTGGTGGGGCAGCCTTGTGGTTAAAGTGTTCGCTTGTCACGCAAAGACCTGGGTTCAATTCCCCACATGGGTTAAATGTGTGAAGCCCATTTCTGGTGTCTCCTGTTGTGATATTTCTGGAATATTGCTAAAAGCAGTGTAAAATTGCACTCACTCAATACTTCAAGGCTTCATCACCTATGAAAACATATGTCCTCTTTGTGCTGCAGTCATTATTATAAGCCAAGGATTCAAGTCATGGTTGCATTCCTACAAGCTTGATACCACCAAACCAATGAATGCTGAGATTACCTCAGCAATATTTCTTGCACATTCTTGTCATAGCTTTGTGGAAATCTATACAAGACATTTGCTTCAGCATCAAGTAATGGTGAGTTTGCACAAAGCTCGTGTTGACTTTATGTTGAGTGATGTAAGTCATTACCTGACTAAGCTAGACAGGCATCATGTTTTTCTGGATGATGGAGGATCATAGTGTATGAAACCCCATGATGGATTGATTGTTGTTTAATGCCACACTCAGCAATTTTCTAGCTATATGTTGGCGATCTGTGAAAAGTCAAATCTGGAACAGACAAATTCCACAATTCAGTAATTTTCCAGCTATATGTTGGCGATCTGTGAAAAGTCAAATCTGGAACAGACAAATTCCGCAATTCAGTAATTTTCTAGCTATATGTTGGCAATCTGTGAAAAGTCAAATCTGGAACAGACAAATTCCAGTAATTTTACAGCTATATCTTGGCGATCTGTGAAAAGTCAAATCCGGAACAGACAAATTCCACAATTCAGTAATTTTCCAGTTATATGTTGGCGATCTGTGAAAAGTCAAATCTGGAACAGACAAATTCCACAATTCAGTAATTTTCTTCACGATCATCGATCTACACAGTTGAGATGCAATGACATGCATCAACTAAGTCAATTCTGTTAGCCACATCTTGCAAGAAGCATGGGTTGCTGAAGATGTATTGACTCGAGGCTCTATAACGGAGGAGAGCGGAAGGTCGCGGGTTCGATCCCCGACCGCGTCATACCAAAAAACGTTAAAATATGGTACTTGTTGGTTCCTGCCTGGCTCTCGGCATTAATTGGTACAACAAAGACTGGTCGGCTCGGAGTCAGTATAATGTGTCTGAGTGGGATATTCATGCTTCACTGCAGCATGGTATCTCAGTGGGCTAGCACTATAAAACCAGCCTAAGTCTGGGCTAGTACAAGCACCCTCACATACACATACACACGCATGCACGTCGTCATATGAGCGAAATATTCTCAAGCACGACGTTAAACCCAATTTCACCTCACCTCACCTCTATAACAGACACGATGATCAGTACCTGATGCAGGTGTTGTTGTTTTCAGGTGTGAAGCACACCAACATTATCTGTGATGCGTGTAAGAAACAAGGGATCCAGGGCATGAGGTGGAAATGCACAAAGTGCCACGACTTTGACCTTTGCACTCTCTGTTATATGATCGATAAACATGACTTGACTCATTCCTTCATGAGATTTGAGTCGTCCAGTTCGAAAGGGTAAGTCTTGCAGTTTCATTCTTTTGTTCTCCAAAATATATTCCGTCTCCTGACATTTTGTTTTCTGTCATATGTATGTTATCAGAGGCCCAGATAAGCTGCGTATCCGGGTAAAATACGTACAGAAAATTTCCAATTACGCATTGGAAAATAATTGTTGCGTAACAATTACGCATTTAAACTGTTAGATACGCAAAGAGTTTAAAGCAAATGCGTATGGAATATACTTATAAAAATCGCTTGCGTAATGAAAAAGACATCGATTGCTATCAAGTTGTACTGTTAGTATAGGACAAGTGTTGTACTGTCAGTATAGGATGACTGACTTTTATGAAATCATTTCCCTTGTATTTAAGTTGGTTTTGATTCGGTATGACATAAGGCAGAACATACCTGCTTAATAAACTTACTCAATGACACAATACTTAGGTGTGTAAAATGACTGAAATACGCACATATTTGAAAGCAGTGGGTAACGGAAAATGAAATACCCACTCAACATTCATAATACCCACTCCAAAAGAATACAGTGGGTACAGTACCCACATCAGCTAAATCTTATCTGGAGCTCTGTGTTATGTTTGTGATATATGTGCGTAAGAGTTAAAGAACATTTGATTAAGTTAAAGGTTGTTTGACGTTATAGAAGAATTTAATGGATCACTCATATATTTTGATTTTTTTTCTGGGTTACAACTAAAAGAATACTCATTGCTTGTCTGCAGGTTTAAAATGACGACGCGAATGGTAGCAGCCAAGAGTCAGGCATGGGGTATATTTACTGGATCTCGGGTTGTGCGAGGACCGGATTGGGACTGGGGTAACCAGGATGGTAGGTTGTCTTGCTTCCACTTCATCCCTTTTGTGTCCTCTGTCTCACATGTCTCAAAACTATCTCACATCATTCACTCCACTCCGCTCCGCTCCACTCCACTCCACTCCACTCCACTCCACTCCACTCCACTTCACTCACTCACTCACTCACTCACTCACTCACTCACTCACTCACTCACTCACTCACTCACTCACTCACTCACTCACTCACTCACTCACTCACTCACTCACTCACTCACTCACTCACTCACTCACTCACTCACTCACTCACTCACTCACTCACTCACTCTACACATGAACTGGCTTCACCCATGACTGTTTAACTGACAGTAATCATGGTAACACTGGTTTTAAACATTGATTATAATCTTTTTCAATAGTGTCAACTATGCAGTGCAAAAAATAACTCATGCTTTCACTTCCTTTATTGACTATTTCATATACTGGTAGTTTTGTTTGGATATTCAGGTGGTGAAGGAAAAATAGGCAAAGTTACAGATATCCGAGGTTGGGACTCGGAATCTAGTCGCAGTGTAGCGCATGTCACATGGTCATCAGGGTCAACCAACGTCTACCGTGTCGGTCACAAGGGCAAGGTCGACCTGAAGTATACACAACCGGCAGCTGGCGTGATGTACTATAAGGATCATCTCCCTGTGCTGGGTATGTGCACTTTTGTAAACGTTCAAGAAATGGCTAAATACTGTAAATAAGATGAACAAAATATGAAAATATTTTCTGCTTAAGTAAACTTGTAAACATGGTTACAGGAATTGTCGTAGGTTTGTCCATTTTTATACAGTCAACTTCTAGTCCATCTGTCCTGCTGTCCATAATCATTTCATTTCCGGAGCATAGCTAAGAAACCATTCAATAATTTTCAACAAAACTTGGTATATATATATCAAACAGAAGCTAAAATGGTGCCTTTTGCTATTTACAGAATTGTGGCTTTTTATTTTTCTGGATTTCCATGGAAACAATTCTGACTTGGTGTCAAAAAGAGGTGGATTTCGTTTGCAGAGCATAACTAAAAAATCGCTCAATATCTATCAATAAAACATGGCAGATATATGAGGCATATTCCAAAGTGGTGTCTTTTGCTATTTTGCAGATTTTTGGCATTTTTATATTTCCTGATTTCATGGAAATGATTCGGACTTAGTCTCAAAAGGGAAGGGGGTGGCTTCATTCTGGAGCACAACTCAAAAACCGTTCAATATCTTTCCGAAAGACTTGGCAGATATGTGAAACAAATCTTGAAGTGGTGCCTTTTGCTATTTACAGATTATTGACATGAATAGTTTTCATGATTTTCATGGAAATGCTTTGGACTTAGTCTAAAAAAATCAAGTTGGACTGTAAGTAATGGTCAGATGATTTGTTCTTTCAAATTTGTGGGGGCGGGGGAAAATTTGTCATCTTGTGATGACTCTTGTTTATAGCGATCTTCGCGTGACAAGAGATAATTGATATCACTAAACCCATGTGGACAGACTTTTAACACCTTCATCATATTCATGTGAATTAAACAAAGAACAAATTATCTGAGATTTTCAGCTAGCCAGTTGAGATAACTTTATCCTGACTCATGCTAATTATGCTTGTCTCCTCCTTGTGAATGATAGTGGAACACTTGAAATCTTTTGAAGTTCCCTTCTAAAAAGTGGATGTGAAATCACTACTCACCGAGGAGTTGCCTCACTCACCGAGGAGTTGCCTCCCTTGCCCCTTTGGCGCCCTTTTGGTCACCTGACCGACCATGCCTTGTCACTCTCTCCTTCTTCGCCCTTGAGGATGGTTGTGAGAGCACCTGGGTCCCTATAAGGCACATATCCTTTTATATTTTCGGACCTTACATCAAAATTATTGCTGTATACGGATTTTAGGATTATATTCTACATTACGGTTTGAAATTTGATCTAATTTTCTGTTGTTTGACATGTGTTTTCATTGTGTTTACATTTGATAAAAACCTGTATTCGTTGTACGTACCGAGTGTCTGCGGCTGACCTTCATTTATTATGTCCTAATTGCACTATTTCATGTTCTTTCAGCTCTCGCTGTAAGTTTTGTGTAAATTTAACCTCTGTTGAATTTACTAATTACCTTTTTTTCATCCATAGACGTGCTAAGGGCTGGGTATGAAGGTATTCACAAGTCATGTCTAAATCGAGTGATTGCGCTGATAACCGTGTGTTAACCACTGCTGCAGACATTCATAATTCCAGTGAATTGCCGAACGTTTCTCGGGAGCAGGTCACTGTACCAGTGGTGAACGCTGGAGACCATAAGAGATCATCGTCTACTGAGCTGACCTCGTCGCAGATGAAGAAGGCTTAATCATCTTCTACGCCGAAGAAGAAGACTACTACCATGAAGACTTCATCGAAGTCTATGCTCAGCTCTACGCAGAAGACGAGGTCTTTCGCAGCCGAGATTGTTCCTCAGGAAGAAGCAGACTTTTATGATGATCCACCCATCCTTATACCTGAAGTCTTCAGAAGTCAGTAAGAAGACGAAGCCTGCTTCTACAGCTACATCGGCATTGTTATCAGCGCAGACATTGACAGAAGACCTTCTATCAACACAGACATTGGGTACCAGAGATAGCAGCAGCGTCAACTCTTCACGAGTGCAGCGGCGTTTATATGATGTCTCTTCAGTATCAGATGCATCATCCCTGCAGCAGTCTCTTCAGACAACGCAGAACTTCAACCCGGGATTGTTCATGCAACAGTTTACAGACCAGATGATGTCGATGATGGACCGTCGCTTCGCTCAGGAGAAGGCTGGTATGAAGACCTCTACAATGACTACTAGCCTGCGTGAAGGTTCTACAGTCTCTCCACCGCATCTGGATGAAGAGGGAAGCCTGCGCGAAGGCTCACGGACATGACGATCTTCCCCATCTGAAGTGAGGAGTCTGGACACCGCTACCAACGTCAGTTCAGCCATAGACACTCCAGAGATTGCTGCTAAGAAGTCTCCACGCAGGAAGACATTAAGCGTTCTCCTGAACCCCACAGAAGTTGCAGATATGAGTCTTCATCTCCATCGGAGTCTGACGCCCATTGAGAACCTGCGCGAAGGCACTCCTACAGAGGGGAAGCTACGTCCAGAAACCCACCTTCACGAAGACCTAGAGAATCATCTCAAGACTCTAGAAAGGATACATGATCGCATCGGGATCGCTCGCCTTCGCGAAGCTCATCATACGGATCATCCCTTATAGAGTCAAGTCATCATGGATCCATAGAGCGAGTGATGTCCAAATCAGAGGAAAACGGTGAAGGCATATTCTCCGATACGGAAGTTAACTCCTGGATCGCCAATGGCTTGGACTTAGCATCACCTTCTAAGGACACAGATGAGGCGTTTACCTACAAGATGTCCAACGATGATTTTCGACACGCTCACCTTTCCACCGATCCACCCGATCTCTTAAGTACCAGACAACCTCAGCGCAGCTTTTTGATATAGCCACCGAGTCTCAGAATCAGCACATCCCGACGTTCAACGCCAGGAAATTACCTCTACATAGGATGGAACCCTTCCTGAAGGCTCCAGAGGTTGATGACTACAAGATTATCACCGACTCCCGTCAGAGAACTTACAAGATTGAGGATAAGAAGTTAGCGCAGCTGGATACAACCACCAGACGTACCTGCTTCAGATTAGCCAGATTGAGGGCTATCAATGAAACACTCATGTCGAAGAACTCCTTCGCCGAAGAAGACCGGATGATATACTACATCAGTTTATGTCGGAGCACCTAGCATCCACATCAGCGGGCCTGACTCTCCTGAGAAGACAAGGGTTATTGTCAGCCTGCACTTGGAGTGAACACTTCACCAAGTCCTTATACAGAGCCCCATGGTCAGCATCTTGCATCTTTGGAGGAAGAATTGAAGAAGTCGCCAGAGAAGTCTCTCACGACTCAAGGGAGGTTATGATGATTAAATCCATCAACACCTTGGCTAATGTGATTTGTCAGACGTCCCAATGGTACTCCAACAAATCCAGGTTTGCAGGAGTTCAGAGAGCCAGAGAAAAGAAGTATTCCAGCATGAAAGGAGGAAGAGGCTCCTTTCGTCGCCCAACTGGAGCTCCTAGAGGTAATCCCGGAAGAGGCCGAGCACCTAGGGGTGCAAGAGGAATCAAGCGCTGAAGGCCAGGTTCGGAACGACTGGAGTCTTTCACCCCCAGCCGTTCCTGTACAACCTTCGACAGTGGGTGGACGTCTCCAACGATACTGGGAAAATTGGGGAATCCTACAAGACGACTACGTGTCCCAGATACTACGCAGGGGGTACAAGATACAGTTGGAAGACACCCGCCCGCTCACAAGCAACCCGATGGCCTTCAACTATGCAGCCGACCAGATAGAGAAACTGGACGACGCTATCAAGACCCTACTCGACAAAGAGGCAGTAGAAGAGATAGATCAAGATCTCATCACGCCTGGGTTCTACTCCCCAATTTTCCTGGTACCGAAGAACAATTCCAAGGAGAAATTTCAGCTCATCTACAACATGAGGAAGTTCAACTGGGAGTATCTATGCAGACCAGCAAAATTCAAGATGATACATCTTCCTCAGCTCTGACATCTCGTTCGTCCATCAGACTACCTTGCCAGCATAGATCTACAAGATGCGTACCTCCACATCCCGAAACATCCAGACTCAAGGAAATACCTAAGATTCCTTTTCAACAGACATCACTTACAGTGGAAGGTTCTACCGTTTGGAATACATCGGCCCCCTGGTTGTTTACTCGAGTGACCAAGCCCATCGTCACATATCTACATCGTCAAGGTCTATGCAGTGCTTTCTACCTGGAAGACGGGATTCAAGCTCATCAAGATCCCAGTCAACTTAGACTGCAACTAGACTTCACCATCAGGCTGCTCACTCAACTAGGATGGCTAGTAAATCTCCTCAAGTCGGAACTGGAGCCGAAACAAGATCTGCAATTTCTAGGAATTGATTCATCACACCAGTGAATCTCATAGTCGTTCCAGAGGATCGTTGGGCCAAGATACAACAGATGATATCTCAAGCAATGCTCTCTCCGTTGACACTACGTGCTTGGCAAAGCATGCTCGGTCTACTCACCTCAGCTCAAGACATGACTCGCAGAGGGAGACTACAGTTGTGCCCATTACAAGTATTTGTGAACGCCCACCTAGACAGCCTAGATCCGTTAATACTACCGGACAGCCTGAAACCATATCTCCTATGGTGGACTCGGAAGTCGAATGTTTGCAGAGGAACCTTTTTGACAGAGCCGGTTTGCAACACTCATCCCTACGTAGATGCCTCCCTACAAAGATAGGGTTCGCACTTCAACAACGAAGTTGCAGCAGGGGAAAATGGGTATCAAGATTCTGGCACTACTACGCTCGTTCAAGTTGGAAGAAATTTAAGGCTCCTGCCTGGGATCTCAACATAGTTCTACAACATCTCACCAGTGATGCCTACGAGCCTCTAGAATGGACATCCTTTGAACTACTAACTCAGAAAACGCTGTTCCTGATCGCCCTAGCAACAGCTGCACGGATGTCAGAAATACATGCTCTGGACTTTGAACGAACACAATTTTAATCAAGACATCGTGACATCTTACATCTTGGACTGAGATGGGATTTTATCGCCAAGAATCAACTGCCTGGTCAGCCTGACAGACAGTTCCACATCCCAGCACTATCTACAGTCCTTGGGCCACAGGATACGCAGGATCTATCCTTATGCCCAGTCAGAGCACTTAAAGTCTACCTACAGAGAACTAAAACAAGGAAATGAAAATTCAAGCGCGCCTATTCATCCCCTTATCCACTGAGACACCAACGGAAGTCTCATGGACAACGATATCGATCTGGATGAGAGCCGTTATACCAAGGGCCTATAAAGCAGCAGGACTTGAGCCTCCACGAGCCTCCAACCCACACGAAGTCAGAGGCCTGGCGTCAACACTTGCTCTGCATGGAAACTGCTCGATTACAACTATAATGGAGGGCTGCTTTTGGAGATCGAACACAGTGTTTGCCAACCACTACCTCAGAGTCATTGCCACCGAAGATGTCTCAGGCATTCACCAGTTTGGGCCACTTGTTGTAGCACAACAACTAACGGTTCCACAAAGGCGCTGAGTAAATCTAACCCCTTTTATCATGACTTGTGAAAACCAACGCTCTGGAGAGCTATGGCTATAAGTCCATACACACGTCTAGGACAGACTAGCATGAGTGATAGACCCTGTACTTGTATAGGACATACTTGTACATGAAGAAGGGTTGCATCTCCACTTGATGTGCGCATCAAGAAATGGAGTTGCAATAGATAACTAATGGAATATTAGTATATCTAAAATCCACATGAAAATGTCAGGAGGACTTTCGGAAGAAATCTGTGGTTCCCCCCAGACTCATCAGAGAGAAGTTGAAAGAACAGAATCTTCAACAGTGCCGTCATAAGTTCCCATGGGGTGTAATGCAGGACGTAAATCAACTGCTAGTGAATCCAGAACGTGGCCTGACCCACCGCCATTTCCGATGGATTCTGTAAGCATAATTAGCATGAGTCAGGATAAGGAAAAATATGTAATTTTCTGACTAAAATTGATATTTTATACTTATCCTGACTCATGAGGTTAGCCCTCCCAACCTCCCCTCTTATGGCACTCTGGATTTCCCTGTAAATCCGGGTGTCGGGCATTCATACGGAGAGAGTGACTAGGCATGGTCGGTCAGGTGACCAAAAGAGTGGCAAGGGAGGCAACTCCTCGGTGAGTAGTGATTTTACGTCCACTTTTTAGAAGGGAACTTCAAGGGATTTCAAGTGTTCCACTATCATTCCCAAGGAGAGGGAGACAAGCATAATTAGCATGAGTCAGGATAAGTATAAAATATCAATTTTAGTCAGAAAATTACATTTACTGACCCGATTCACCATCCGTTAGCATTTGGCTAGCGGGTCTGTACCTATTTCGAACACTGTGTGTACAACAACCTTTTTGCTTTTACAGGTGAATTTGTTGAAGTAGCAGGTCCTGGAATCGTTTGTCAGTTTAAGGTCAGCGATAAAGTTCGATGTGACCTTGAGGTAGAAATATTGAAACAGATGCAGGAAGGTCATGGAGGCTGGAACCCACGTATGGCTGAGGTGAGATCATTGGGCACAGCAATAGGTCTTTCTCTCTGGGTGGGACTCAACCCTTAAAGTACAAGAATTTGTAATTTACTTAGAAAGTGAAGTCCCAAATATACATTGTTTGTAAAACAAGCCAGATTGGTGCAAAATACAACTGTCAGACTCATCACACCATGTCAAATGTTTGAAGGTCCGGGCTAGAATTGATCTTCAGTAACCCATGCTTGTCGTAAGAGGCGACTAACGGGATTGGGTGGTCAGGCTCACTGACTTGGTTGACACATGTCATCAGTTCCCAATTGCGTAGATCGATGCTCATGCTGTTGATCACTGGATTGTCTGGTCCAGACTCGATTATTTACAGACCGCTGCCATATAGCTGGAATATTGCTGAGTGTGGCGTAAAAACTCACTCACTCATGTCTGATGTTTAAAATTGGAGCCAAAATTTTACATGAATGACTCCAGAATTTAAGCATGAACAACTGAAAGGGTGACTAACCTTAAGTGAGTCAAGATAAGTATAAGATATCAATTTTACTTAAGAAATTACATTCTGTATCAAATTTTAATCTAATCTGTTGCAGTACATTCATAAAGTGGGTACAGTGCACAGGATAACTGACCGAGGCGATGTGCGTGTGCAGTACGACGGTTGTAGCAACCGGTGGACATTCCATCCTAGCGCGCTTAATAAGGTGCACTTGTTCACCCAAGACGATGTTGTGAAGATAGTTGATAATGAGCAGCGGATTAAAGAGCTACAGAAAGACCATGGAGAGTGGACAGACACCATGAGAAATGTGAGCCCATGATCTGTATTCAGAGGATATAAATGTATGGTATTTTCAAGCTCTATTAGGTTTTTCTTTCCCACTGAAACGACTAGTTGTTAATGTTCATTTAATTGTCCTGGGTACACTTGTCAACCCTAAGGCCAAAATTACCCTTACTGATGAAAAGAGAGTGAGTGAGTGAGTGAGTTGGGTTTTATGCCGCTATTAGCAGTATCACATCGGTGGATGCCAGAAATGGGCTTTACACATTGTACCCATGTGGTGAAACGAACCCAGTTCTTCACGGTGGTGAGCGATTGCTTTAACTGCTAGGCTACCTCTCCGCCCCGGGAGACATTAAGGAATGCACTCACAGTGTTGACAGTTTGCATTTAAAATTCAGAATTGGGGATAAACGTGACAACCATATTGTTCATGTATGGTGTATGTATTTTACATTAGTTTAGGTTTGAAACATGTTGAATATTTGATCTGATATTAATCTATGAATGGGACTTGATATACATAAACAGTAGTCTTCTAACCAAGGATGTCCTGTTTCACCCCCAGACACTGGGTAAGCTAGGCCGGGTGCTGAAGGTGTACACTGATGGTGATCTGCGGGTGAACGTGGAGGGACAAACCTGGACGTTCAACCCCGAATGTTGTCAGCTTATACCACACGGGGCACAAGAGATGAATAACACCATGGGCAGCCATCGAGATAGACCGGAGACAATACGTAAGTCTTGTGATGGTAATGTCAACGAGGCAGACATGAAACTATATCTTGTGAGGCAGGTGCAAAGTTATGTGTAAATTTTGTAAGGCTATAGTCATTGAGGTAGCCATGAAACTACATGTAAACTTTGTGAGAGTAGAATTGTCAAGGCAGGTGTTAAACTATACATGAGTCTTGTGATGGTATAGATAATGAGGCAGGCATGGAATATAGTATGACCAGAAATTATTGAGAATTTTAGGAATATGTTTAATTGGATTTCTAGTATAAACAACCATGACCAGCTATCAAGTGCTTGGTTTCATTCAAGAGAGACAACTCCGATAATCCTTTTTCATTAGTTTGTGAAGAGTTATCCCCCTTTGTTCACTTGCTAGCAGACGACGTTTTCAGTGATCCTCAGTATGGATGATTTAGAGAAGAGGAAGTTGATTTTAGAGTATTATAACAAGGACATCAGATTAGCTAAAGTGATTTCAAGTAGAAAAGGCATCCCTTTGTCCACTGTTTATGGTGTTTTGAAAAATATTGCAAATGGATATGGCATTGAGCACCAGGGAGGCGCAGGTAGGCCCAGAAAATTGACTGTTGGTGACAGGAGGCAGCTTGGTATTCTTGTTTCTAAAAACAAACGAAGGAGTTTAGAAAACTTAAGGCTGGATATGATTGATAGAGGAACTGTGGCTGTCTGTAAGGAGACAATTAGAACTGAGCTACATGCAACGGTTTGGCAGAAAAGTCGAGGAATTCCATCACCGATCATGAAACCTGAACAAAAGGAGCGATAGTTGAACTGGTGCTTACAGCATAGAAATTTTAACTGGGACAATGTAATTTTCTCAGATGAAAGTTCTGTGTGGCTGTTTCCTAATACACTGAAATTCTGGACCAAACAAACTGAAAAACCTTTGTATCAGCGCCCAAAGTACAGTCTGAAATTTAACGTGTGGTTTGGCATATCTGTGTTGGGGGCAACGCCCCTCTGTGTATTTGAAGGGAATATGAACAGTGAGTGGTAGACAGATATTCTCGAGGGACATTTACTTCCATCTGCTCACATGTTCTATGGAAATTTTTGGATTTTCCAGCAGGACAACGACCCAAAACATTGTTCAAAGCATTCACAGGCCTGGTTTCGGACCCAAAATATGACATTACTAGATTGGCCAAGCTATAACCCTGACCTAAATCCAATAGAAAATGTTTGGGGACTTATGAAGGAAAGTGTCAATAAGAAAAATCTGACAAATATTGCTGAAATGAAAGAAGAGGTGGTCCGATATTGGGACAACATGGACCACGACTTTCTAACTTCTTTGATCAGTAGTATGCCCCGCCGCATTGAAGCCTGCATTGCTGCCCATGGTGACTTGACAAAATACTAACTGTTCACCTGTCTTTGAATCTGGAGTTATGTTCTGCTAATATTCACATTAATATGTGAGTAATGAGTGAAAAAAATATAAAAAATTACGATCTTTAAATTCTCAATAATTTCTGGTTGTACTGTAACTTGTACAGCTCCTGATGGTATAGATAATGAGGCAGGCATGGAATAACTTGTAAAGCTTGTGATGGTATAGATAATGAGGCAGGCATGGAATAACTTGTAAAGCTTGTGATAGTACAGTCAAAGTGGAAGGCATCAAACTATACGTAAATGTTTTCATGGTATAGTCAGCCAGGCAGGCGTGAAGTCATATCTTGTGATAAAATAGGCAGGTGTGAAAGTCTTTTGACTCTAAAATCAGTCACAGGCTTGAAACTATGTAGTCACAGTGTACGAAATAGTTTCCAAAATTTGCTTGCCAGTCTGGCTAGCTATGCCAGAATGTTACTAGCCAACAAAATAATTTCACTAGCCCAAAATTTGAATGTAGACACGGGTTTCATTATTAAGCTGATAATATGATGAACATTTTTATCAGGCCATAATCTTGCATGATTTACAAGTGTATTATAACATAAAAAGTCAGAGAGAGTGATATATTTACAAAATGACCCCATTTAAATTCACTAGCCAGTCGGGCCAGTGACTGGAGATTTACTGGCCTGACTGGATTTTTACTAGCCACAGGCAAGCAGGCCAGTGGCTATTTTGCACACTGTGTAGTCATATTCAGTGGTAGAGTGAATGCGGCAGGCATGAAGCTGTAAATCTTGTGATGGTGCAGTCAACAACACAGATATGAAACATGAAATCTGTTGATGACATTGTCATTGTAGCAGTAATAAAACTGTATGTACGTCTTGTAGTAGAGTCATTGAGCTGGCTGAGTATGGTTTTACGCCGTTTTTAGCAATATTCCAGCAATATCACAGCGGGGGACACCAGAAATGGGCTTCACAAGTTGTACCCATGTGGGGAATCGAACCCGGGCCTTCGGCGTGACGAGCGAACGCTTTAACCACTAGGCTACCCCACCGCCCCAGTAGAGTCATTGAGACAAGCTTGAATATTACACAAGATTACATTCACTAAATACCTTCCATTTGAAGTTTTTAGCAAATTTTCTATTGTCTTCGTCTTCCTGTTATCTATAAATTGGGTTCTGACACAAAATGTGTGTAACAATGTGTATGTGTAACCCAATCATTGTCACGTAAACAAGAAACTTTAATGTGCATGTAACCTGTAGAATACCAGTATTCTTACAGTGACAATGTCAACTGGTTTACACTCACACAGTCTGTGCCAAAAGCTTTTGTGTCTACTTGTGCAAACTTATCTCTAGTCTTGATTTCCAGTGTTATATGAACAATTACCAGACGACTAAGTGACGAGACCAAACAGGATTTTGCTAGACTGGGACTTCGCACTTATGGCTAAAGTCTTAGACTACTCATGTAATAATCTCCATATCTTAACTTCTGTGAATAACTGATTCATGTTTTCTGGTTTCCATAGCGACCCTGACAGCACTGTTGGACCAGCTGGTTGAGCTGCGGAGTAAGCCGGGCCTGGAGACTGGCCCGGACCGTCTGGTTCGAGAGGCAGCACAAGGACATGTGGAAATTGTCCGTGAGATCATAACAAAATTTCCAGACAAGGTAAGTAGATTACCTGTGTTTCAAAGCAAGCTATGGAGATAACTTTGCAAAACCGTGCCAGTGGTTGTCACAAGCTGTGATGTGATTTAAGCAGTGTATGAAATAAGCCAAAAACCCAGCCAGACATCAGGGCTGGTAACTACAAAGTGTTACCAGCCCAAAATGGATTTAATCAGACCAGACACCAAGATATGGTGAATTTACTCAGATGTATGAAGGGGCGGTGGGGTAGCCTAATGGTGAAAGCGTTGGCTCGTCACGCCCAAGACCTGGGTTCGATTCCCCACATGGGCACAATGTGTGAAGCCAATTTCAGGTGTCCCCCGCCGTGATGTTGCTGGAATATTGTTAAAAACGGCGTAAAACCAAACTCAGTCAGTCAGTCAATCAGATGTATGAAATATCTAAAAAATATTACAAGACCATCGAACTGGCAAGTTGTAAATTTAGACCGTCCGTCAGAAATCTAGCCCATCTCAGGCAGTCAGACGGGCCTTATTTCATACACTGGATTTAAATTCTTGGTGTACCGATTCACTCTTTCGACTTGGCGTCTTTATGTCATTTGGGTTAGTGGGATGGCCTACTGGGTAAAGAGCTCACTGTACAGTGGTCACACTGATGCCCCTCTTGTTTAGCTCATTTTTTGTGAACCGCCTCCGTGGTGTAGTGGTTAGAGCATCCGCCCGGAGAGCGGAAGGTCGTGGGTTGGATCCCGGACCGTTTCATACCAAAAGACATTAAAATATGGTACTTGTTGGTCCCTGCCTGGCGCTCGGCATTTCTGGGTACAACAAGGACTTGTTGGCTCGAAGTATAATGTGTCTGAGTGGGGTATTCATGCTTCACTGCGGCATGGTATCTCAGTGGGCTAGCACTATAAAACCAGTCTGGGCTAGTACAAGCAGCCGCACATACACATACACACGCATGCATGTCGTCATATGAGCGAAATATTCTCAAGCACGACGTTAAACCCAATTTCACCTCACCTCACCTCATTTTTTGTGACACTCGTGTGATGCTAGAATATTGCATAAAGGAGTAACGCCACACTCAATCAGCAATCTGATCATGTTGTATCTTATTCATACATGTTACGTTTCCAGGTTGATCAGAAGAGTTCAGGGAAAACTGCGTTGCAAGTTGCAAGTCACCAAGGTCACCGGGAGATTGTTTCATTGTTGCTTGCAGCAAATGCTAATTTAGAACTGCAGGATGAAGATGGTGACACAGCACTTCATTACTCAGCATTTGGGTAAGGGAGATAATCCACTTTATTACTCAGCATTTGGTAAGGGAAATAATCCACTTCATTACTGGGCATTTGGGTAAGGGAGATAATCCACTTTATTTCTCAGCTTTTGGGTAAGGGAGATAATCCACTTCATTATTTGGCATTTGGGTAAGAGAAATAATCCACTTTATTACTCGACCTTTGGGTAGTGAGATAATCATTTTTATCCCCCTGGCATGTAATGGTCTCGCCTTTCCCGTCTGTCCGTCCGTCCGTAATCATTTTGTTTCCGGAGCATTACTCAAAAACTGTTCAATATTTTTCAACAAAAATTGGTAGATATATCCAGAGGTACAGATAAGTTGCGTATCTGCGTAAATTATGCAAATATTTATGTGAACACTCAATTCCTATTAAGTCTATTGCGTACATGTATGCTTGAACTTTTGTAAATACTCAATACACTTGATCTTACATGCGTACACACAAGAATGTGATAGAGATTAACGAGGACAGATCAAATAACTGAGGTATACTGAAAGATTCTATTTCTGCACTTGAACTTGGTAACTTGCAGTCTTTCTTGTTGTTTCTCATACTACAGCAAATACAAATACAAACACATAAACAAACATTTAAACTTTGTTATATTTTTACAATAAATGGAAAAATACCCAATTGAGTTTGAGTGGGGTGTGTACAATTTATTTGGTTACTCATAAAGGAAAATTAGGATACCCAATTGAGGTGAACACAAGTGGGTACATAACTCAGTGACCCAATAAGTTATCTGTAGCTCTGTATATCAAACAGAACCTAAGGTGGTGCCTTTTGCTATTTAGTGATTTTTGTCATTTTTATTTTTCTCGATTTCATGAAATGTTTTGGACTTAGTCTTAAAGGGAGGGGTGGGCTTTGTTTCCGGAGCATAAGTCAAAAACCATTTAATATTTTGTTGCAGAAATTGGTAGATATATCAAACAGAACCTAAAGTGGTGCCTTTTGCTATTTACAGATTTTGTGATTTCTTATTTTCTCGGTTTCCATGGAAACGATTCAAACTTAGTCTCAAGAGGGAGGGGTGGGCTTCGTTTCCGGAGCACAACTTGAAAACCGTTCAATATCTTTCAACAAAAGTTGGCAGATATATGAGACAGATCTTGAAGTGGTGCCTTTTGCTTTTTACAGATTTTGGTCAATTTTATTTTACCAGTTTCCATGGAAATGATTCGGGCTTATTTGTTCTTTCAAATATGTTTGGGGGGGGGGGGGGATATGTCATCTTCTGATCACTCTTATTATACCCTTTGGGTAAGGGGGATAATACACTTCATAACATGGCCTTGTTGTTGTTTACTAGAACATTTCAGCTATTTTACATTGTCCTGCTATCATAGAATCAACAGTCACTGACAACCTTTTTATAAGCTTTCTACGACAGGTATCTTGGGTTTGCCCTAATTATGTTTCTGGGTTTGTAAGCACAAAAGTGGTTAAGGTTTGAGACCTGGATCACTTCAGGCTTTCCCAACATATTAAGCTGATGTACCATGGTATGGCTGAAACGGTTGAAACAGACATTAAATGGTCACTCACTCTCTCATCAGAGGGCACAGTAACCCTGTTGCCTTTAGCGCTTCAGTTCGCTGTGCACAATTGTGTCCCTTTGGCACACCACGACCGTGATAAATGTGGGTTCGAATCCCAGCGCTGACACGACCATCTGTGATTGAATGTTTAAAGTTGAAAACTCAAATTTTTAAGTTAGTGGTTGCTCATGGCCACCATTTTGTTCCAGTAACCAGCCATTCGTCATGGAGGTGTTGCTGCAGAAGGGGGCTCAGATAAATGCCCTGAACAATGGGGGCTGCAGCACGCTTCACGTCGCCGTCAACAAACAACATCTACAGTGTGTCAATGTCTTGCTCAAGGAAGACTGTAATGTTAATATACAGGTGAGAAGGATCACATTGTGTAATGTTGCTATACAGGTGAGAAGGATCACATTGTGTAATGTTGCTATACAGGTGAGAAGGATCATATTGTGTTATGTTAATATACAGGTGAGAAGGATCACATTGTGTTATGTTAATATACAGGTGAGAAGGATCACATTGTGTAATGTTACTATACAGTTGAGAAGGATCAGATACGTGATCACTTTGTGCCATATTAATATACAGTGAAAGGGGTCACTATGTGTAATGTTGATATACAGTAAGAGGGCTCACTTACGTAACCAAATCTGTATTGAAGAGTTATGTACCACTATATTATGTTCCCAGGATGCTTATGGTGACACAGCCTTGCACGACGCCATCGGGAAAGAAAGTCGAGAGATTATTGACTTGTTGATCAATTTCCCCGGCATTGACTTTACCCTGAGGAATAAACGGGGATTCAATGTCTTGCACCATGCAGCCCTGAAAGGCAACAATGTGTAAGTAATTGTGCAGACGAAAGTCTGTTTTTGAGTTCTTGGTCCTGCAAACAGTATGTCTACACACAAAATAGACAGTTTGCCGTTAGAATTCCCAGGTGTAGAGAGTGTCACTAAAATCTCTTGCATCCAACCTCATGTGTCACTTCTCCACTAAAAACAGGTGCTTATTTATAAATTATAGTTTGCTCTACCCTCATGTATACTGTAATATAGTACAGTTTTTGCCCTGAACTATCATAGTTAAAGCTTGAGGATGCTTGCTTCAGTTCTAAGATGCCAAATTTAATACTTATCAACGATTAATGTAAGGCAGAAAACAGATAAACGATAGTGTTAGTGACCTAAATGCTCGTTCGGGGATAACGGACGTGCTGTTCTATTGACGAGTCTGCCCCCAAAGTTAAGACACATGCTACCTAGACAACAAATGACAATGTTTTTGCAAGAAACTATTTTCTCTCTGTTTCCTGTATTTTTTTATGCCCATGTGATTTTTTGCAGAGCCACAGATAAAATTTTAATAAAGTGTCGTCAGATCGTAGACATCAAGAAAGACGATGGTTTCTCTTCATTACATCTGGCAGCTCTGAACGGACACAAAGATGTCGCAGGAACACTCCTGGGAACGGTGAGTTGAGATAGAACAATGCTTGAGTGAGTGAGTGAGTAGGGATGGTTTGATGCTGCATGTAGCCATGTTCCAGCGATAGGATGGGAGGGACACCAGAAATGGGCTTACAGACTGTTCCTCATTCTCTTCCCACAGAGGTTACTCAAGTCATATCTTCCTATGTACCTCTGTTGTAATACAGCCCTTTCATGGTGCGATTGTTCAGGATTCGTGATTGGTTGCAATCAGATTTAGTTGTGCAATCAGCGACGTTGTTTCAACAGTAATCATTCGCAAAGCCTCGGTAATTTCTGTATGCTTCAGCAAAACTAGAACTTCTTCCCCTGCGCTATGCGCAAACGTTCCTTCTAGACAGAACTTGGTCTTGTAATGGCGAATCAATGGCGTCTCCATCGCCCTTGTTGTTGACGGACAAGCTAACCATTAAATGTCTTGTGTGTCACATCAACAAAAACAACTTGTCGGTTGATTCATGCACTCTCTATTGCTAGTTTCTGATTTTCAGTTAAACATGAAATACCAAATCTATCCTTCACTTACTCAATAGTGGCTGCCATATTGGATCTAAGTCAGACACTTGTTCTGATTGGATAGAAATATGGGAGATAATTCATGTTGCGATTTTTTGCCGCTAGGGGATTTTACGAGAACTGGGAAATATGGCTGTATTAGAACAGAGGTACGTGGGAAGATATGACTTGAGTAACCTCTGTGGGAAGAGAATGATTGTACCTGTGTTGGGAATCAAATCTGTATCTTAGACAATTTTAAAGGTATACAAGCATGGGGATTCCTAGTCTGAATAGTTCTCCAGTAACCAGGGTGGTCTTTTCATTTCCTGCTACCTTTCATCTTGATGGGCTACTACTGTAAAGTTTGCCCAACACTTGCCACCCCCAACCACCCTCCCACCCCCAACACATGCACGTTTGAACATTGCTACATTAGAACAATAATGTTCAGCCCTCATTATACTACACTTCACCTCACCAAGTTTGTAATCCTAAATGAATAATAACAATGAATTTCCTGAATATTTTGTGACTCAATTTCTGTTGTTTACACCCCAGGGCCATGCTGACATAGAGATCCGTAACAATCGCCAACAGACCCCGCTGTTGCTGGCTGTGTCCCAGGGGCACACAGCGCTCATAGAGCTGTTGGTCAGCCAAGGTGCGAACGTCAACGTCGCAGATGAAGATGGTGACACCTGCTTGCATCTGGCACTGATGAGGCAAACTGTAGCTACCGAGAAGGAGAGTTCTCCGACCTTGGATGCAGTGAGTATCAAATGTGTATTGTTATACATAGTTCTACAGATGAATCTTCAGTGATAGAACAGAGAGTGACAGATTCCTAGGACATATGAGTGACTGGAAGAGGGAGGTTATACTCCTGGGCCCCGATCCACAAAGTGTTCGTAGTGTTACGACTTTCGTAAACCTATGATAAAGTATGGAGTTACGACAGGTCGTAACATTATGAACGCTTTGTGAATCGGTGTCCTGTAGGGCTGCGCAATATAACCGGTTTACCGGTATTTACCGGTTCAGACATGAAAACGATAGGTATTGCGATACGCTGATCAAAAACCGGTATTTTGACATGCATTCGGAAAACTTTGTAACACTCGGAAATCTTCGGATATTTCCGTTTTTTGAATTGTTCTTTTCCCTGTTTCATTAGTGCCAAATGTTACTTGCATTTTTATTTTATCATGATTAAAAGTTTTTATAAAAGGTTAATCAATCATAGTGATTTTGTTGTGTTTTTGCTTTATAATCAAGCATTAACTCGATTATAAGTAGTTTTTGTTAAAAAAATAATCCTTGCAATATATAGCAATACATATCGCAATATATGCTTCCGTATCGCAATATATCGCACTATGAAAATTCTCTGCAATACCCACCCCTAGTGTCCTGTATCTCAGGACCCACCAGTAAGTGAGTTTAGTTTTTTGCTGCTTTTAGCAATCTTCCAGCAATATTACAGCAGGGGGGGACACCGGAAATGAACTTCCAACACTTCATGTAGGGGATCGAACCTGGGTGTTTGGCATGACAAGCGAACGCATTAACCACTACCCCACTGCCCCTCAGGACCCATAGAATAAACTTAACACATTGTACCCATCTAGCGAACCAGGATCCTATGATCTTGAGTTTGAATCTCTGATTTACCCAGTTTATGAGTTTATTGGAATGATAACTATGTTTGTAGGTTTTCAATGATGTCGTGAGTGAGGGCGTAGACTTGTAATGTCAATGTAGTTGTATTTCAGCCAGAAAGCAACCAGTATTGAAAACAAGGGAACATTATGTTGATTATTATATACTCCAGGAAACGAATAAGGGGATATTTATATTGATTATTATATACACCTGGAAGTTAAAGTCATTCAGAGGCATATAATCAGAAGGAATATAACACATGAAAGTACAATTACCTTTATTTAGTTCCAGATTTTCACCCACAGTGCAATAGAAACCTTGTGAAGAAACCTGGAAAAGAATAAAGAACACTTGTACTTTCATGTGTTCCCTTTTTTGTTTCCATGAGTATATCATAACCTGGCATAAATCCTAGGAAATGTGAGTCTGAGTGGGTAAGTGAGTGGGCGAGTGAGTGAGCGGGTGGGTGAGCAGGTGAGTGAGTGAGTGAGTGAATACAACTGTTATGTCTGAAAAATATAGAAAAAAGAGGTTTGAAATTGCTAGATTTTCTTGCCTATTATTCTTAACATAATTTGCATGGTATAATTACTGAAATAGGTTTGATTTTGTTCCTTTAATATGTCCTTGAAGATACACTTTAAGATTCAACGTCCTAAACTTGTAATAGCCAACTATTTATCAGATTCGGACACAGCTTGGAATGACAGATGAAGAGGAACAGACGGGGGCAGCCATTGCTTGCTACCTGGCTCAGCAGGGGGCGAATCTCATGCATCAGAACCACCAACATAAGACACCACTCGACATCATCAGTGATCCTCGGGTGGAGGAAGTCGTCAAGCAGTTTGCTACAGCTTAGTATGTATATAGACTTGAATGCATTTTTAAAACTCAAATATTTTTTGCTCTCTGCTCTCCATGCTGAGTGGGACCCTGAAGATCCAAGTTAGAATTGATCTCCAGTAACCCATGCTTGTCATAAGAGGCTGATGGGATCAGGTGGTCAGGCTCGCTGACTTTGTTTACACATGCCAACGTACCCCAATTGCGTAGGTCAATGCTCATGCTGTTGATCACTGGATTGTCTGGTCCAGATACGATTATTTACAGACCGCCATCATATGTCTGGAATATTGCTGAGTGTGCTGTTAAACAACAAACCAACCAATCATTCATGCTGAGTGGACACGAAATTTAGAACATGTATCTGTCATGTTTCAAGCTTCAAAACAGCTATCATATTCACAACCCATTCCCATGTCAAAACAGCTGTCATATTCACAACCCATTCCCATGTCAAAACAGCTGATCATAATAGACCCTTTCATAAACGGGCAGCCAGCTCTGGGTAACAATTGGTGAGTGAGTGAGTGAGTGAGTTTAGTTTTACGCCGCTTTTAGCAATATTCCAGCAATATTACGGCTGGGACACCAGAAATGGGCTTCACACATTCTACCCATGTGGGGAATCGAACCCAGGTCCTCGGCGTGACAAGTTAACGCCTTAACCACTAGGCTACCCCACCACCCTACAATTGGCCCCCAGGTACTAATATAATACTACTACTACTACTAAGGCCACTGAACTCCACTGGGGACATCCTCTAAGCGCATACAACATGATGGACATTAGTAGGAAGCCGTTTCCTATTCCTTCGGTACTTACAGATATTGGCTGAAAAATAACACAACCATTTCTTACCGCATGAATGCTTGTTATTTTTAAATGAAGGGCCTTCTCCTTAATATCTGCATCTATCAGCTGCTAGCCTTACTCTTGAGCCCGGTGATAAACAATGCCATCCGCTATTTACGAAATGAGGCTTCTCCTATTCTCGCAGTATAAGGAGGAAGTAACGTTGTGGAGTGCTGGAAGAGCAATCATGCCGGAAAGGGCGGGAAAAAGTTATGATATGTCCAAGTTGGTACAAACTCACCAATATTCGTGACATTGCAAGATTTTTATCACTCGCAGACTTGGGCCACTTCCTAGTTTCCGGTCGGCGATGTAAACAACCGCTAAGTGTTGTGCATCAGCAATTTCGGCAGAAAACGTGTTTCCACAAGAATAGGAAACCCGCGGGAATAGGAGACGGAACTATATGCTGTGTGTAAGGCGATTGTGCATTTGTTGATTGTGTGTGATAGACCCTGATGTGTCAACTGTTCCCCAAATGTTTTTGACAATTAGATATGCTGTTCTTTCAGTGCCACCGGTAATCGCACAGAGCTCCCAATGTGTCTGGAGGGAGAGGAGTTGGTAGAATGTGAAGTTTGTTGCGGAGAGCGAGCTAACGTGACGTTCGAGCCATGTGGGCACGTGATAGTATGCCTTGAGTGTTGTGTGAAGATGAAGAGGTGTCTCAAATGTAAAGTTCCCATTGAGATAAAGCGTGGACCAGGTGAGATTATTCTGCCTTATTTCATGTATTCTAGAAAAAATATAACAAGGTGATTGAATCTGGTAGTCAGGTTCTCCAACTTGGTTGACACATGTCCCAATTGTGTTGATGTCATCTCAGTGGGCGATAACACTGTATTTGGTCTCAACAATAACAAGCAACCCCCTGTGAAGATCCGACCCGTGAAGATCCGGGGTAGGATAGGTCTTCAGCAACCCATGCTTGCCACAAAAGGCGACTATGCTTGTCGTAAGAGGCGACTAACGGGATCCGGTGGTCAGGCTCGCTGACTTGGTTGACACATGTCATCGGTTCCCAATTGTGCAGATCGATGCTCATGCTGTTGATCACTGGATTGTCTGGTCCAGACTCGATTATTTACAGACCGCTGCCATATAGCTGGAATATTGCTGAGTGTGGCGTAAAACTGAACTCACTCACCCTGTGAAGATCCAGGTTAGAATTGGTCTTCAGCTTGTTGTAAGAGACGACTAAAGGGATGGAGTGGTCAGGCTTGTTGATTTGGTTAACTGATGTCATCTTATCCCATTTGCATAGCTTGATGATGTCAAGAACTGGATTGTCTGGTGACTTACATTATTTTCTGTCCTGTTGTCACATAGCCGAATATTGCAGAATGTAACAATAAACAATGATAATATTGACAATGACTGTGATATTACTGAAAGATACATCCTGAATGTGACATAAGACTGTTATTAAGCTCCACCAGTAGAATGGCAATGTAACAAGAATAACAAATGCTTGTCTCTTCTATTTAAGATGGCCGTCCCGTTGTTTCTAGTCGACAGCCAATCAACAATAAACAATGATAGTACTGACAATGACTGTGATATTACTGAAAGCGACATCCTGAATGTGACATAAGACTGTTATTAAGCTCCACCACAATAATGGCAAAGTAACAAGAATAACAAATGTTTATCTCTGTTTAAGATGGCCGTCCTGTTGGTTCTATTCGACAGCCAATCAACGAAACAGATGCTGTAATACTGAAGAAGAAGCTTCAGGAAATGGAGGAATCTCTTATGTGCCCAGTGTGTATGGAACGAAAGAAAGACACAGTGTTTCTTTGTGGACACGCTCTGTGTGGGAAGTGCTCGGACGCGTTGAAGTTATGTCCAATGTGTCGGAAACCAATTTCTAAAAAGATTCCACTTTATCAGTGATTGGTGTAGTTCATATGGAAAGTTTTCCAAAATACTCAAAAATACCAAATTTATCAGTGCTCCACCAGAAGTTCCATCATCGTCCATGATGCATCAGAATGGCGTCGTACCTGCAACAGTCATCCATTGAAAGATGTGTTTACTGTGTGACGAGTGTGTACAAGCGGTGTTTTATCACATGGCATTTACTAACGTTTGTAGAGATAGAGCATCATATTGATTTGTAACCTTGGCAACAGCTGTTTGGAAAGGTATGATTATGAGAGTTATATCCTACACACAGTTCAACAGTTATTGGTTTTATGTCCACCCTAAAGCCGTGATGTTACAGTAAGATATAGTGTAATAGGAAGTGCCAATCAGGTTACCGCATTCTAAGGACTGTGTGCCTCCGTATCTTCGTTTGTTGACATGTGACAAACCAGGTGAAAGAAAATTCATGAAAAGCAACAATGTTTTAATACACAACAGCAGTGTCAGGTGATAAGATAAATGAAGGATATTGCGTGATATACAACACTGTTGCATTGTGCAGAAAGAGTGTTGGCTTGTTTCTCTACACAGTGTGATAATATACAACTGCATCATTGTGACAAGCTGGATGAAGTACAATGTGATGACATCACTATACAAGGAACAACTGCATCATTGTGACAAGCTGGATGAAGTACAATGTGATGACATCACTATACAATGAACAACTGTATCATTGTGACAAGCTGGATAAAGTACATGCATGATGGCAACACTATACAATGAACAACTGCATCATTGTGACAAGCTGGATGAAGTACATCATGATGGTGACACTATACAATGAACAACTGCATCATTGTGACAAGCTGGATAAAGTACATGCATGATGGTGACACTATACAATGAACAACTGCATCATTGTTACAAGCTGGATGAAGTACATCATGATGGCGACACTATACAATGAACAACTGCATCATTGTGACAAGCTGGATGAAGTACAATGCATGATGGTTACAGTGTGCAATTTGAAGTACAGCAATGTCATGCGCTGGACAAAACATACAATGCATGAACATGAATGAATGCAACAAAGTGACAGGGTGAAGAACTGCATCTTGGCAACAGTGTAACAAGTTGAGTGAAGAACAATGCATCTTTGCAACAGTCTGACAAGTTGGATGAAGAAAATGCATTATGGCAACAAAATGACAAGTTGGATGAAGGATAATGCATTATTGCAACAAAATGTCAAGTTGGATGAAGGACAATGCATCATGGCAACAAAATGACAAGTTGGATGAAGGATAATGCATTATTGCAACAAAATGTCAAGTTGGATGAAGGACAATGCATCATGGCAACAAAATGACAAGTTGGATGAAGGACAATGCATCGTATCAACAGTCTGAAAAGTTGGATGAAGGACAATGCATCGATCAACAGTCTGTAATGGCAACAAAATGACAAGTTGGATGAAGGACAATGCATCGTATCAACAGTCTGACAAGTTGGATGAAGGACAATGCATCATGGCAACAAAATGACAAGTTGGATGAAGGACAACACATCGTATCAACAGTCTGACAAGTTGGATGAAGGACATGCATAATGGAAACAAATGACAAGTTGGATGAAGGACAATGCATCGTATCAACAGTCTGACAAGTTGGATGAAGGACATGCATCATGGCAACAATGTAACGAGTTGGATGAAGGATGACAATGACAACAATATACGAAATGTGATGAAAAGGGTAAAGCAGAATGCATGGCAACTGAGTCAGATGCAGATCTGTGAAAGAAATGCATTCTGGCAAATGGACACACTGTATAATGGAAGGCTGGCAACAGTACGACAAGTTGAATGATGGCAAATGTGTCAGTGTGTCACACCCAGGCATAAACAGTTTCCATGACAAACATTGTGTACAGACAACGGAAATATTGTTAGAGGGTGGTACAGTGTGGAATCACTTTTAAAGGTCTGACGAACAAACAAGGCCATGGAACAATATATAAGCCTAAACCTTATGGATTATGTCGTGTACAAGTTTATCTAAGACACCTACCATCACCTCCAGCAGGTCATCAACCGTCATCACTCTATGGGTGTTTAATTATGACGTAATCTTTCGAAAGTGAAACTATAACTTTCTCCACAAGACAATGGTAAACATAACATGTTACATGCAGGGTAAGACAAGCTTAACTGATATGAATAGTTTTATTTTAAATTTCGCCTCATAGCATAACCACTGCCTCAGATTCCATTACAGTGTTCACGAATGGTGTTTCAAAGTAACAGGACTTTCGGTCCTGTAAGTTTCAGATGTCTGTCTGACCCATTGAAAATTCACAGGACCCATAAAATAAAATTAAACACATTTCAAATTTAATATTTCTTATATTGGCATTGAAATTATTAACAAACATAAGATTTATAAACAGCAAACAAGTGTCACATGTCACATATAACAACTTCAGTCAAAGTCATTGTGAAATATACAGTCAGAAACTGGGGCTGGCGGGCTGTAGATTTCTATCGGACTGTTGGCGAATCTGCCGGATTTGTCAGAGGGTCATGCGCTATTTGCGAACACTGCCATTAGGCAAAACAGAGGTGACAATTATGTTAATGGATAACTGAAATAAGTAATGACATTAGTTTTTTTTAGCTAGAAGGGAAACCATTTCCTGTCTGACCAGAAGTAACTGCATCTCCCAAACTTTCCGTAAAAACATAACATGATGTAACATGGTGAACGTTTCTCGTTTAAGAATATGACTCGCAGTGGAAACAGAAATTCCTAGTTGTTAAGGTATCAAATGGATATGTTGATGACTCTGCTTTGATATCATAGGCTAGGAGACTTAAATGACCTTCTACACCTGACAAGCCAAACATCGAGTAACATGTTTTTCGCAAAATAAGGTCAAGTGTATCATGGTGCTGAGAGAGGACATCTTGTTTATTTTATGTTGTTGCTTGTGCACAGCATTCTGGAATAGCACTGACCTTTTTCCAGTGTACATTTCTTTAATTCTTAATTCATAGTATCCTAATTAGAGTCCTACTAAACAGGTAAAGTATCCTAATTAGTTGAACGTGTTGAACAACTTGGTGCCCAAAAGGTGTGTGGATGAAATCAGATGGTAGCCATGGCAACTTTGTGTGATATGTATATAGCATGTACAAAGCCTGCTAAATGTTTTCTGTATTGTCTTTTCTGATTTTCGTCAATATCCAAACATTCGGGAGACAAAGTGATCTGTTGAATCATGGTACTACTTTCACAACAAATGATTATTACTTATTATCATATGTGATTTTATACCTTCTCTTTCCTCTTCTCTTTTCTGTCTTTTCAAGATAAATTTTACAGTGCCATCTAATTAATGATTTTGTGGATGTAAAATGATCATATTTTGGCATGTCATCTTTTTCTTAAGGGTATTTGATCGTCAGAATACAGACTTAAGATTAGAGTTACCTCCCTTTTATTATTTTTTGAATCTGGTTGTGGCTCAGTGTAGGGTGGTGAAAGTAATGGCATAATACAATGTAACAAGCCTGTAAGGATATATCTGGTTGTAAAATGTCTCTAAACGTTGGGCATGTTCACGAGTGCTGCCGATTTGTGTTAATTCATTCTGACAAATTTCTGTTGCAAAACATTATCAATGTGATTCATTGTTTTGCCATTGATTTTCTACATCATCAGTTCTAACGGTCTAAAATGAAATAAGAACATGTTGTGTTCATCCCTAATTGTTCATGTTCAAAGGGCATGAAACAATCACAGTTTTGTTGATCTTAAGGCTGATAATTTCATACCTTCTCTGCTCTAACATACAGTATATTTAGTTGTTCGCACCTTGAACCATGTTACATGAAGTGGTTTAAGTGGTTTTCTGCTATGACTGTTCTACCTACTCTGCAATAATGGAGACTGATGATACTCCACCACTATGTAAGCTTTATGGAGGCCAAAGATTCAATGACCCCCCCACTGTTGCTCTTTTCCATGAAGTTTTGTTTTCATTTGGTTGGTTTGTCTCAACAACTTGTGAATCCTCAATTATCCAGTGTGTCCAGAAGATCTGGGTTAGAATTGATCTTCAGCAACCCATGATTGTCGTAAGAGGTGACTAACGGGATCGGGTGGTCAGGCTCGCTGACCTGGTTGACACATGTCATCAGTTCCCAATTGTGCAGGTCGATGCTCATGCTGTTGATCACTGGATTGTATGGTCCAGACTCGATTATTTACATATAGCTGGAATATTGCTGAGCGCCATATAGCTGGTATATTGCTGAGTGTGGCGTGCAACTAAACTCACTCATCTTACTCACTGTTACTATGAAGCACCAATTTCAATGTAGGCGTAACCCCATGAAACTCTAATCCTATATACCCCTGATATCAGATCGTGTAGGCGATCTCTGCCATAGGTCCCATGTTACTAAGAGAAGCAACCAGTTCTGTGCAGAATTAGTCAGATGTGAACTGGTGGGCAAATTGACATCTCTTTCAAACCTTCATCTTCCTCGATAATTTCCAGGGTATATTGTTACTCTCCACTAACACCCTGATATGCATCCAAGGCTTGGCCGGGCCGCCGTGATAATTATATTACCTCCTTTGCTGGCTCACGATGCGCCGATTCTCACAGTAGCCAATCAGCAAAGCTGCTTCATCTCGATATTTCATATTTCACCAATTCAGCTTGCCAATGTCAACAAAGATATCGGTCACAGTCGCGAAGGTTTTTTCTGTTCAATTGCCACTCAGATTATTTAGGAAATAATTTAACACAAAATCACAGATTTGAAACTTTCAACAAATATATATCGAATTTGAACTCCTTCTACCTCTTTCAAGTATTGGTAATGCCTTGTAAATTCGATTTAACCAAAAATCAGTTAGTTGTACTCAAAACAAATTTGCCTCAGTCTAAAGCGGTTAGATATGTCCCCAAATGCCTATGGGTGATTGGTAATCACTGAAAACAGACTATAGCCCAGCGTAAACTAGCTGACCGGATACTCTTAATTCAAGTTATCATCACATCAGCTGTCCGGCAAAGTGGGGTATGACCATCGTAACGAAACGTATACCCTGGAGATTATCGAGGATTGAACCCCATGTGCAAGACCATTTTACTGAATTTATGACAAGAGAGACTAAGTTAGTGATTCTCTTCAGAAACAAAGTTACGGCTATGACCAGATCCAGGGTATTCAAGAGAGTAAGTGAGTGAATTTAGTTTTACACCACTATTAGCAGTATTCCAGCAATATCACGGCGGGGGACACCAGAAATGGGTCACATGTACCCATGTGGGGAATTGAACCAGGTTTTTGGCGTGACGAGCAAACGCTTTAACCACTAGGCTATCCCACCGCCCCAGGTGTGTAAGAGAACACAATGGAGATATTGAACCCTGGATGATAGAGGATGCATGTTGTGATTCTATATTCTCAGGTGTATTTATTTCCATATTTTCTCTACCTCTGTTGACCTTTTTCCAGAACGATTGACTTCCTGTCTTTAATGTTCAACATCCAATATGGCGCAGCTTGAACGATAAATGTCAAATCCAAAACATACAGACTTCTTGAACGAAAACCAAGTTCTATGGATAGTCAACCTCTATTGCAATGAGCGTGACGTTTCGGTGTAGGCACTTGCTTGATAACGGTGTTGGTACCTACACCGAAATGTCACACTCATTTCAATAAAGAAGTTGACTATCCATAGAACTTGGTTTTCCTTCATTTTCACAGCTTCTAAAATGCCTCTCAAAGAGGTTATACAGACTTCTTGCTGACATAATATTATTGCTATGTCATGTTGCATGAATTTGTTTCTAATGAAAACTGTCAGTTTGATACTGATGCCGTGTTAGAAAGTCCTCCAATAATCTCTCCTTGTAGGGTCAGTATGAGCAAAACATATAAGGTTCAGTACTTCAGCTTTAGAAAAGGAACGGATGGTTTATATATATTTCACTAAATTAAATATTTATTTAACTTAAACCCAATTTGTTTGTCAAAATCTGTCAGCTAGAAAATTTTAAATATGGCTTCCATAGATTTGAATGAGATGGAGATACATATGCATTTGTCATAGTGTACCAGCTTAAAAAATATATAACCTAAATTTGTCTTCCTTTTATGTCGGGGCAGTGGGGTAGCCTAGTGGTTAAAGCGTTGGCTCGTCACGCCGAAGACCCGGGTTCGAATCCCCACAAGGGTACAATGTGTGAAGCCCATTTCTGGTGTTCCCCGCCTTGATGTTGCTGGAATATTGCTAAAAGCGGTGTAAAACCAAACTCAGTCAGTCAGTCCATTTATGTCATTTCTGGAATTGTAATCTAAAGATTATTTATATATTCTGCTGTTATATGTCTGGAATAGTGCTGAGTGTGACATTAAACATATTTTCTTGATCTTACCAAGAAGCAGGAGGCTAAATAAGCAAGAATTTTAGCACATTTTACAATCTGAGTTGATTGTCTAACAAGAAGGTAAAAATAAACATATGTTCACAATATGTGAATAGGTTTAGGAATAATACTTTCTCATTTTACTCATGCCAAAAGGATAAACAGGGCTGGCATGAGGTATAACTGATGATATTGGTCATTTGGTGTTCATGTTGTCACCATGGAGACTGACATGGCAGCTGTAACTTGCCATTGGAAAAATTGTATTTCTGTTCAAATACTGTTTCAGTCTCTGCTTGTGTTTTTGTGATTCATATATTAATATGTGTTTTCTTATTAATCCACTGCATTTGTCATTATGTTTAATCAACTAACTTGTAGATAATGTTGTTTTTGTACAGTTCATCATTTTGTAACCCATGAATTCAATGTTTATTTATTCAAAACAGGTGGTTTTGTTTTACAACTTTTAGATATATTGTCATCTTTCATTGACCTATATCCAACTTGTATATCTAGAGGGGTGAAAGGTTACCTGATGCAGGTATGTTCTTTTTTGGCAAAACTGTGATTCTTAAATCGTACGTCTTGTCATACTTTCCTTGACAGCAGTTTGTGAAAAAGAGATTATTTCACGTACAGCCAAATTGTGATATTGTCCGCAACTAGTTCCAGCTGAAACATGTATTGTGACATATTTGAGGGAGGTAATTCAAGCAGAAACATTTCCTATCTCAGTTATGGATAACGTGTAGGGATATTGTTTCAGAAAGTAGTCCCAGTAGGAGTTTCCAGAATCTTAACTGTTACTATAAGGTGATGAGGTGAAATTGGGTTTAACATCGTGCTTGAGAATATTTCAAGCTCATATTGGTGTGTATGTGTATGTGCGGCTGAGAGACTGGCTGGTTTTTTTTCATAGTGCTAGCCCACTGAGGGCATGCCGCTGTGATCCCCAGTCTTGTGTCTCATACTTCCTAAATCTTTAAGGGGATGTACCCATTAATGCTGAGGGCAGGACCATAGTCTTTTTGGTTGGCGCGGTCGGGGATCTTTGCTGGAATTCTGCTCTCCTCGAGGCGGACACTCTAACCACTACACCACCGGCGGTCTGTTACTAAAAGCAGATATAGAGAGGGGTAGGGAGATGGCATCCTAGGGCAAACACAGTCCTCTAAATCTTTAATCTAGCCTAGTGGTTAAAGCTGCTGATATTCTTAAAAGCGGCATAAAACCCGAAATGGGGCTTTAATCTGAATTCAAAATGTTTGAGAATTCAACAAGCTTTTAGTTTTGAAACATCACTCACCCCACTTGGAACATTAGTTATTAATTATTGGCATTCTGAAAGAGGTTTTTAGAACACATGAATTAAGTTTACCATTTAAGAGACAACTTTTGCATTTAATTAATTTTGCATTCTTATTGACGAATCAATAACAGGTCACAGCGGTTCAACAGGCTCAGATTGAATTGTGATGAATTATGGATTTCAGAAAACAATAGCAAACTATTTTTCAAAAAATGAAAAAATCTTTTAAGAAAAAAATATCAGTAGTCTTACTTTGAAGAAATCTGGTGTTGGGTAATAGATAGAGGCTTATGCCATTTCCCTGATCACTGCAGGACTGGGTTTGATTCCTAACATGGTGCAGTGTGTTAAGTTCCAGCTAGGCTACATTATTGTTACCACCATCAATGCATCAGTGTGCACACAAGTTTCATTCTCAGCTCCCTGAGGAGTATACGACCCACTACAACCCAACTAGCTGCTAGGGTGCTAGAAGGTTAACAGTCAAACAGTTAATCATACAAGTTGCTTACCTTGGGTAGGTAAATGTTGAACCCTATAAATTTAGAACAACATAATTGCTGCTATCATGAATTCTTCTGGTATATTTACACTGTTCTGTCATGAAGGTAGGTATACAAAAGTATGACATATTATGGATTAAATACTGTGCAAATGTTTTTCCACACCTCAGCAATCAAAGGTACACAAAAAATCATTTATTATTATAACAAAACAAACTGATAATGGACATTTGATCATTTGAGTCTATTTTCAGGAAAGTTATCCCACTGTTTTGTCACGCAGATAAAAATGAAAAAAGGTCATGAATATTTTGGGCATATTTCTTTTTACTGAAAGACTGTGTCCACAAGTTCCAACAAATATTCCCAAAATATTCATGATCGTAAAAGTGTTTGTTCAGTATGCTTATGGGTTTGAATTGTTGTCATTCACCTCGGGATTGGGACGGAGAACTTTGACGATGGGCCATTTTCAGGATTATTAGCCATTTTCTGAATTTAGAATGGGCCACTGCCCTTGTATCAATAGTAAACTTCAAAATTTTAATGGTCCATTTTTAACTCTAATGTGCAAAATGGCCCATGGCTCCTGCCTTTCCCAATCCCTGTTCACCATTAGGGCTTTGCTGCAAGCCAGAATTGCATGCTGATAATAACTGTCCGATCAAACTACTCTCCTGATGGAATGAACAACGGTGCTATCCTAGATGTCGGAACCATGACGATCCAGGTTAGAATTGGTCTTTAGCAACCCTTGCTTGTTGCAAGAGGCGACTAACGTGATCAGGTGGTCAGGCTCGACGTCTCCGTATCCCAATTGTGTAGAAAGATGCTCATGCTGTTGATCACTGTATTGTCTGGTCCAGACTCGATAATTTACAGACTGCTGCAATATAGCTGGAATATTGCTGAGTGTGGCGTAAAACCAACAAACCTACCTAGAGATGGAGATGTGTCTCCTGGAAACAACACAAATGTGCTGGAAAGGTTCTAGGTATTTATGTTAACAGAATGGAGATGTACAGTGAATTTGTGTAGATAGGCCTGGCCATAAGGATAAAGGGAAGTAACTTGTGTAAAGAGAGGATATTGTATCCTCTATCTCAAGGGGCAGTGGGATAGGGTGATCACTCGTCACTGGTTCAGTTCCTTACGCAGTATGTGTGAAGCCCATTTCTGGTGTCCTCAGCCGTGATATTGCTGGAATATTGCTGAAAGCGGTTTAAGTCATACTCATTGAATTTCATCAGAGCTATTTCTATAAACATACACTAACCCTCAGGTTCTAAATTCTAGTCCCAGGGTTCATGCAGTTGCAAATTACACACCTGGATTATGAGATAGAGGATGTACCTGGATTATGTTGCCTGAATATATACAGGATGTACTGTAAATCATGAAATTAATGCGAGCATTTTATTAATGCGAAAAAATGCGTCTGTACTCTTCTCGCATTATTATAATGACGCATTTCAGTCTGACCATGTCTACTTTTGAGAGCTTAATAGAAGACAGAAAACATACATCTCTTATCGTCTTCAGGTTAGCATTCATCATAACAATTTACATATATCATAACAATACCGAATATAATAACAATTTAGACATCTCTCATAAAATTTATCGACAAATGAGGACTAACTTCTATGACACTAATTGATATCCATTGAACTTATTCATCGGCAAATTATGTAACAATAGCGGAAGTGTTGACACTACACATTACACCAGTACAGGTCACTTCCTCATTACAGGTATCTCAAGCCACATGTAATTATCACTGGTTACAATCACTGGTCATTGTTTAAAGTCGCTCAAGCACATCAGCCAGACCGGACATTCTCCAGCCACTTGTTTGTTGTACCTTGGTAGATGACTCGCGTCTTTCACGTCGGATTACGTTTATACATGTTGTCATAAGACAAGTAGTAGCAAGCAATCACGTGATCAAACATGGCAGCGTAATCAAAACATCGTCAGCTCACTGCCATTTATTGCATAACAAGCTCAATTCAGGTTATTTGGTAAATAACAAGTGTGAAAAGAAAATGAACATCAAAGATTCAGGGTGTCACATCTTATCATCAGCACAGATTCCTGAGCTCGCATTAATTTCGTGACGCATTTTAGACTAGACCCTCGCCCTCGCATTAAATTTGTGACGCATTAATTTCATGATTTACAGTATGTGGATTTTACACCTGGAGATATAGAGGATGTACCTGGATAATTACACCTGGAGATAAAGTAGATGGGTACATACGTCCTTAGTAAAGTAGGGCTCTGCAATATATATTTAGTTTTATATCTCCTAGATATGTCATACGAAAAATGGTGGAATGTGTAAATTGGTTTGGCACTATAGTTCTATAATCGCCCTTTATGTCACATTTTGCTATTTTAATGTTTTGTATGTTTTGTTTCATATTTCAGTGAGAAAAATTAATTAAAGGGTTTTGGAAATTAATTTGTGACTGAAAATGAGACATTTGTATGTGGTCAGTGAGATAATTATTGTCTTAAGTCTGTACTGAGTACAATCAGCAGTTGTTCTAATTATCTCCAGAAATATTTATGCTGAAGATCTGTCATTGTAATTGTGTACCTAGTGCTGTGAGCATTGATCTGCTCACACTTGGCTGTACAGAAATTGGGCAACTGTATTTATTTGTTAGTCCCTAACTATGTTGTACAATGATACCTACCGTGTTGAAAGAGCTGTATTGACGATGATATTGAGTGATAATGGTCACCTAGACATGTATCTGGTGTAGAGTGTGTACATAGCTGTATTGTAAATAACAAAAGGCTGGCCAGACAATAAACAAATTTAACATAAAACAGACTTCCGGTGTTTTATTTTCCTAGGAACTTCTTTATTGTACAATGGCGATGTTTTGGTATAGATGTCTGTACCGTTTTCAAGCATCCTACAATAGACTGACTGACTGAGTTTGGTTTTACGCCGCTTTTAGCAATATTATAGCAACATCACGGCGGGGAACACCAGAAATGGGCTTCACACATTGTACCCATGAGGGGATTCGAACCCGGGTCTTCGGCGTGACGAGCCAACGCTTTGACCACTAGGCTACCCCACCGCCCCTCCTACAATAGAGAAGTTTATCATCCATAAAGACCTGTCATTCCTATTGCTTACAACTTCTAGAATGCCTCTCAAACAGTTTTTATTTTCCTGTTGGTCATTACTGATGGTATTCTATGAACTCTTTACCTTTCAGGGCAATGGGGTAGCCTAGTCTTTAAAGCAGTCATTTGTCACACCAAAGACCTGGATTTGATTCCCCACATAGGTTCAATGTGTGAACACCATTTCTGGTGTACCCCGCAGTGATATTGCTGGAATATCGCTAAAAGTGGTATAAAACCATACTCGCTCACTACGGCTGAGGTTGCCCTCATTACAGGTGTTGCAATAATTACAGGTGTACGCGGTATGGATGGAATGTCAATCAATGAGTGTGATAACAAAAAAACCACGAGGGTGTAAGATCGGCTCAAAAACACAAATTCATAAAAATTATAAAAAAATATTTATTATTTTCTGTCAATATACAGTAAAAAATAAAATGTTGGAAGAGCTTCGATTACAGTGCATCCTTCATCTGTTGACGTATTTCTGAGATGTAAAACCCAGCTTCTAAAGCCATAGCTTTGGCATAAACCCGCAATATATAAAACAGTGTAACAAAGTCTGTTGTGCTGAAGAAAGTGTCGGCTAAGGCGAATGTCAAGGTCGATGGTATGAATCCTCGTCCGTACTCCACCATCCATGTATCATGTGACCAGGATACAGATGCGGCCTCACCTATCGGATGGTACACGATGTCACCTGTAACGAAAATGTCGTCAGTATTTCACAGGTGTGGTGTACACTGAATTGAGATCTAACTGTAAAGTAGCATGTTAGAATTGGTCTTCAGCAATCCATGCTTGTTGTAAGAGGTGACTAATGGGATCGGGTGGTCAGGCTCGCTGACTAGGTAACATCGAACAATGGTCATAATGTCAATTACTGGATTGTATGGTCCAGACTTGATTATTTACAGACAGCTGGCATATAGCTGGAATATTGCTGAGTGAATTATTAAACAACAAAGAAACCAAACAAACTCTGACACCCATCAATACATTGGGACAATGTAGTTACCGTATTTCCTCTAATAAATGCCTCTGGCACTTATTTTTTCAACGAACCTCCAGACCCGGCGCGTATTAGAGGCCCGGCGCTTATTAAAATACCCTGGATTTTTAAAAGCGGGGATGAGTACATGAAGTTATGATTTAAGGGACCATTCCTTAATATATTTATTTTTAGACCAAGGGAGAATACATTTGCGAAAAAATGCAAAGGTCTATACCCGGCGCTTATTAGAGGCCCGGTGCTTATTTCTTAAAGCACTGCTTTATCCCCGGCGGTTATTAGAGGCCCGGTGCTTAATAGAGGAAATACGGTACTTTCTAAAACCAAAAATCAAGCCACAATCTTGTACTCTTGTGAAACCCTAGTAGGCATGGTGCTAACAAATCAAAACCTTAGAATCAAACCTGTGACATAAGAACTATGCAAAGACTGAACAAATGATGACTGTGACAGTCGCTGTGATAACATTTTTATGGGAGTGGTGGCAAGATGTGGGTAGAATCTATTTTCTGCATTACCTGGTTCAAATACTGTACTCTGAAGCGTGCCTTCCTGCCACTGTCGGAATGATCCAGTTAATATTGTGTCAGAGATGTTGGCCCAGTACCGCCCTGCAACAAAACAACATTGAAAGATATAATTAACACCAATTAACATGAAAAGGACACCTGAACCTGTAAATAATTTCAAATTTTATTGCACATATGGATATAGCAATACAGTAAGGGCTGGGTGGAAGGGGAAATAATATGGTTCATAGACTGTGGGACAGACTACAATCTTATTACATGAAGGTCCCCAAAACAAAACAAAAGTATCTCATCAAAAATATGTCCAAATGGAGCCAAGATCAGTTATTAATTTCGCACGGTGGGGTAGCCTAGTGGTTAAAGCGTTGGCTCGTCACGCCGAAGACCTGGGTTCGATTCCCCACATGGGCACAATGTGTGAAGCCCATTTCTGGTGTCCCCTGCCGTGATATTGCTGGAATATTGCTAAAAGCGGCGTAAAACTAAACTCAGTCAGTCAGTCAGTCAGTTATTAATTTCAGAGTTGAGGCAATCTAGACTTGCTAAATCATTCCTGACCTGAGTTGGATTGTGGCTACCAATCATGTTACCTGAGTGACCTACAGTGTCAACTGCTGTACCAAATAACAGCACATATTCTCTGTTGGTCTGTGGATACAAATGATATTACCTGAGTGTGGGACTGTGGATACCAATGATATTACCTGAGTGGCCTACAGTGTCAACTACAGTGTCAACTGTCGAAACAAACAAACAATTACCTGAGTGGCCTACAGTGTCAACTGCCGTACCAAACAACAGCAGTTGGACTATTCCTCAGTTGGACTGTGCAGATATTCTCATGGACTGTGGATACCATTACCTGAGTGGCCTACAGTGTCAACTGTCTGTACCAAACAACAGCCCATATTCTCAGTTGGACTGTGGATACCAATGATATTACCTGAGTGGCCTACAGTGTCAACTGTCGTACCAAACAACAGCAGATATTCTCAGTTGGACTGTGGATACCAATGATATTACCTGAGTGGCCTACAGTGTCAACTGTCGAACCAAACAACAGCCCACATTCTCAGTTGGACTGTGGATACCAATGATATTAGTGGCCTACAGTGTCAACTGTCGAACCAAACAACAGCAGATATTCTCAGTTGGACTGTGGATACCAATGATATTACCTGAGTGGCCTACAGTGTCAACTGTCGAACCAAACAACAGCACATATTCTCAGTTGGACTGTGGATACCAATGATATTACCTGAGTGGCCTACAGTGTCAACTGTCGTACCAAACAACAGCCCAGATATTCTCAGTTGGACTGTGGATACCAATGATATTACAGTGTCAACTGTCGCATACCAAACAACAGCAGATATTCCTGACTGTGGCCTACAGTGTCAACTGTCGTACCAAACAACAGCCCATATTCTCAGTTGGACTGTGGATACCAATGATATTACCTGAGTGGCCTACAATGTCAACTGTCGTACCAAACAACAGCACATATTCTCTGTTGGACTGTGGATACCAATGATATTACCTGAGTGGCCTACAGTGTCAACTGCCGTACCAAACAACAGCCCATATTCTCAGTTGGACTGTGGATACCAATGATATTACCTGAGTGGCCTACAGTGTCAACTGCCGTACCAAACAACAGCACATATTCTCAGTTGGACTGTGGATACCAATGATATTACCTGAGTGGCCTACAGTGTCAACTGCCGTACCAAACAACAGCACATATTCTGTGATCGATGCATGCAGGATGCACATGGCTCCCATCCAGCCGCCGGCGTTCATGAAGATCCATTGCATGTTCTTCATCCGGCAGGATGTGTCCGGGATACTGGCGTCGGAAGTCCTTGATTATCTTTGGAAAAGATGTTTCGGGATCCTGCCCTGGAACATGTAGAACAGAGTTAGTTCCATGTAACACAACTTGGAGCAGTATTTCAGCTTAACCTCATCATCTGAGCTTGAGTGAGTGAGTGGGTTTGTGAGAGAGCGAGTGAGAGCGAGAGGGGGACAGAGAGAGAGAGAGAGAGAGAGAGAGAGAGAGAGAGAGTTAGTTTTAGTACTTTTACAAACATTTCAGCTATATCACAGTGGGGGACACCAGAAATGGGCTTCACACATTGTATCCATGTGGGGAATCGAACCCAGGTCTTTGGTATGACGAGAGAACACTTTAACCACTAGGCTACCCTACTGCCTCTTGAAGCTTATTACTAGTGTGAATGAGTTTAGTTTTACGCCGCTTTTAGCAATATTCCACCAATATCACAGCGGGGGACACCAGCATTGGGTTTCACACACTGTACCCATGTGGGGAATTAAACCCGGATCTTCAGCGTGATGAGTGCACGCTTTGACCACTAGGCTACCCTACTGCCCCTTGAAGCTTACGGACCGCGTCCGTGGCGTAGTGGTTAGAGCGTCCGCCCGGAGAGCGGAAGGTCGCGGGTTCGATCCCCGACCGCGTCATACCAAAAGACGTTAAAATATGGTACTTGTTGGTTCCTGCCTGGCGCTCGGCATTAATGGGTACAACAAGGACTGGTCGGCTCGGAGTCAGTATAATGTCTCTGAGTGGGGTATTCATGCTTCACTGCGGCATGGTATCTCAGTGGGCTAGCACTATAAAACCAGCTTAAGTCTGGGCTAGTACAAGCAGCCGCACATACACACGCATGCACGTCGTCATATGAGCGAAATATTCTCAAGCACGACGTTAAACCCAATTTCACCTCGCCTCACCTTGAAGCTTACGAACACGGCTTGGGGCTAACAAGCACTGAAACAATCATGGCAAACAGTATTCACCAAGTCTGACTACCTGGACCATGAAATGACTGCTTATGAACACTGTAGTTTTGTACTTGAGGTCGATTCTGACTGAGTATCATGATGATGACAACTACTTATTTCATGTCAGAATAGCAAAGATATTATTTGATAAAACCAATTTTGTGTTAACTGCCTCTTGTTTTAACATATAACATTGTTAATGTTAGAGGGGCTGGGGTAGCCTAATGGTTAAAGCGTGTGAGAATGGCCGGGTTCGAATCCCCTCATGGGTATTTGATAAAGCCCATTTCTGAGTGACCCCGCCAGATGACATGTTGCTGAATATTGAAAAGCGGCATAAAACCAAAACTCAGTCAGTTATTTAATGTCAGAATTGCAAAAATATTATTTGATAAACCAATTTTGAGTGACTTGACATGAGAATATAAATAGGTGATATGTTGTTTGTTCATTCAATTCTTGACAACTCAAAAAAGTCTAAAATTTTCTAAACATAAATCAGCCTTCTTTCGAATGTTTTACTAACTAATTTTTAAATGTAGTGATATCATGAGTGAGTGAGTGAGTTTAGTTTTACGCTGCACTCAGCAATACTCCAGCTATATGGCAGCAGTCTGTAAATAATCGAGTCTGGACCAGACAATCCAGTGATCAACAGCATGAGCATCGATCTGTATTGGGAACTGATAACATGTGTCAACCAAGTCAGCGAGCCTGACCACCCAATCCTCTTAGTCGCCTCTTACGACAAGCATGGGTTACTGAAGATCAATTCTAACCCAGACCTTCATGGGTCCAATACATCATGAGGCCAATGATAAACTCTTATATTGCAGTGTATGAAATAAGGCCCGTCCGACCGCCCGAGATGGGCTAGATTTCTGCCGGACGGTCTAATTTTACAGCTAGCCAGCCCGATGGACGGGTGAAAAGAAAATTCAGATAACGTGTCCACTGGCACTGCCTATTTAGGATTTAAGAAGGACTAGTTAAATCTCTTCTGGGTCTGGTAAGTTTTTGGAGTTACCAGCCCAGATGTCCGGCTGGGTTTTGGGCCTATTTCATACACTGTATATTGGCATGAAAACATCTCAATGTCAGTCTCTGAAACGAACAATGATTCAAGGTTGTCATAAACAGTGTATAAAATAGTTTTGACATATGGCTTGTCCAAAAATGTGACCAGTCCTGAACAAACACAGCCAGTCCCAAAAACTAAAACAATGAAAAAATTATAGATAAGACGAAGTTCAAACCAAGTTAAGTTTGCTTTTTCAAATATTTTCCCCAACCAAAGGATGGCCTTACTTATTTAATAGACCATCCTTCACAAAAATAGACGTCAAGGACGGTGGGATGGGAGATGTTTTATACACTGGTCATAAACCTGCAAAATTAAACAATATCACCTTACATAATAAAGTGAATTTAGTTCTAAGCCGCTTTTAGCAATATTCCAGCAATATCATGGCAGGAGACACCATAAATGGGCTCCACTCATTGTGCCCATGTGGGGCATCAAACCCGGGTCTCCAGCTTCCATAATCTGCACTAAAACGAAACATTGATCCTGAACATGAAGCTCATGACAAAACAATACTACGGTGACAACACTTGTCAACATCGCTGGTCCTTCAAATGTGAGGCATAAAGAAATTATTATTTAAAATTTCAGGCATAAGATGAAAGGTAGCCTTAAGAAATTGATATTTTAAATTTCAGAAAAATATGAATAAATATTGATGTTAAAATTAAAAAAAGTAAATTTATTCACTACTTAGTTATTCCACACATGCATGTGTTATATAAGAAGTTAAGTTATTCCACACATGCATGTGTTATATAAGAAGCGACAATGCATTGCTGTTACAATGTTGTACAAGCTTGACCTCAGCTGAGCAGTCATACGGTCGTCGTTCGATACTATAGTAGTACACCTGCACTCTCCGAACCACCACCTTGTGACACCATTGTTAGACACAACCTACCTATGTATTTCTTCGCTATCTTGTTAACAGCTTCATCGGAAAATAAATACGATTTGTGTTCTAGCCAATACTGTATACAGAATATGATAAATATGATGATAAATATCCATTTAGCACACGCGCGAAAGAAGGCCATGACATCAGTATAACGCCGTCTAAGGGAGATCACTCTAATTTAGTGTTGTGTTTATACAAACAGAATGATGGTGTTAAGCGGACATGTAAACCGGTTCGGATCTCGTCAAAACTTTTAACTGTCAATTATCTTTTTGGTTCCATTTTTATATCCGCACACAGGTATTTGTACCGCAAATACTGGCATCAAGGTGTACAATTGTCACTGACAGGCTCTTAGCGTAAAACAGATGGAATAACACGGAGGGCAGCTGTGGTCAAGTGCGAGAGAGTTCACGAGCGAGTTTACTTTTACGCCGTTTTAACAATATTCCAGCAATATCACGATGGGGGGCACCAGAAAGGACCTTCATACCTTGTACCAATGTGGTGAATCGAACCCGGGTCTTCGGCGTGACGAGCGAACGCCTTAACCACTGGGTTTAACCCCCCAACCCCCCTCTCCTCAGTGGTCGAGTAGACAGATAATAATAAACTTCGGTAAACATTAAGGGTCCTTGAGTATTTAAGCTCTGTTGAAATCCTGACAGGACACGGAATTCGTGATATCATTCTCAAGGATAGAAGGAACAGAAAGTGGACACGGGACCTCAAACAAGCTGATGACTTAGACAAGTAAGATATACCAGTTCTTGGACCTGTATCCGACATTACCGAGGAGACTGTGTAATTGAAGAACTGGAGCGATGTGGTCATGCTCTCACAATTTAGGGGTAACCTAGTGGTTTTAGCGTTCGCTCGTCACGCCGAAGACCCTGGTGTAAGTCCCCACATGGGTACAATATGTGAAGCCCATTTCTGGTGTCCACTGCTGTGATATTGCTGGAATATTGCTAAAAGCGTTGTAAAGGTAAACTCGCACGTGAACTCTGTTCTGTTATTTGTCAGGATGGAGTAGCCTAGTGGTCTAAGCGACCCGGGTGTCCAATGCGTGAAGCCCATTTCTGGTGTCCTCCACACTGACGCACTCAGCTTTATTTAGATTATAAGACGGCGAACTGAATCTGTAAATTCGTTTGAACTCCCAACTGCATGGGTAAAAGCCTAATGACGCTTTTTTTCATCTTTGACGCCATTTCCGAGGACCTATGACAGTTTGTTGTTTAACGCCGTACTGGGATATAGTGTTCAAAGTTAAACCCAGCTCACTCAATCTCAAAGGCCTGCTTTATGGGTCTCACTTTAGGCTTACCTCAGGTATTCGTTAGTTATAAGCTGTACCTGCACTGTTCCAATGTTCTAGTGGTTAAAGCGTTCGCTCGTCACCCCGAAGGTCCGGGTTCGATTTCCCACATGGGTACCATGTGTGAAGCCCATTTCTGGTGTCCCCCGCCGTGATATTACTGGAATATTACTAAAAGCGGCACAGAACTAAACTCACTCACTCACTCCAATTTATTGATGGGTGCAGGAGTGTCTTGTTTCTTTGTTGTTTCACGCCACACACAACATACCCCTCTGAGATCCCGTTAGTCACCTCTTACCACAAGGATGGGCTGCTGAAGGTTAGTTATAACCCGGTTCTTCACGGGTCTCCAAGGATCCAAGGAGCTATGAAAGAAGAGGATGTTTAGTGCACCCTGGTTACAGTCAAGGGCCTAGGGGGCGGTGGGGTAGCCTAGTGGTTAAAGCGTTGGCTCGTCACGCCGAAGAACCGGGTTCGAATCCCCACATGGGTACAATGTGTGAAGCCTATTTCTGGTGTCCCCCGCCGTGATGTTGCTGGAATATTGCTAAAAGCGGCGTAAAACCAAAACTCAGTCAGTCAGTCAGTCAGTCCAGGGTCTAGATTTCGAAGCGCTCTTAGCGCTAAGATAGTCTTACGTGCCATACATTAACATTAACTTACGACTATCTTAGCGCTAAGAGAGCTTCGAAAATCTAAGCCAAGTTATGTGCCAGTGTACATGTGCTGTGTAATTGAGAAATAGAGAACGATCAACAAAGTAATGACTTGTTTCCTTCGAAGCCATATGGCTTCTAACTGTCCTGCCTGGTTATAATGCCACCCTGGTTATAATGCCACCTGGCTATAACGCCACCCTGGTTATAATGCCACCTGGCTATAACGCCACCCTGGTTATAATGCCACCTGGCTATAACGCCACCCTGGGTATAACGCCCCCCTTGTTATAATGCCACCTGGCTATAACGCCACCCTGGGTATAACGCCACCCTGGTTATAATGCCACCTGGGTATAATGCCACCTGGCTATAATGCCACCCTGGTTATAATGCCACCTGGCTATAACGCCACCCTGGTTATAATGCCACCTGGCTATAACGCCACCCTGGGTATAACGCCACCCTGGTTATAATGCCACCTGGCTATAACGCCACCCTGGGTATAATGCCACCCTGGGTATAACGCCACCCTGGGTATAATGCCACCTGGTTATAACGCCACCCTGGGTATAATGCCACCTGGCTATAACGCCACCCTGGTTATAACGCCACCCTGGGTATAATGCCACCCTGGGTATAACGCCACCCTGGTTATAATGCCACCCTGGGTATAATGCCACACTGGGTATAACGCCACCCTGGGTATAATGCCACCTGGTTATAACGCCACCCTGGGTATAACGCCACCCTGGTTATAACGCCACCCTGGTTATAATGCCACCCTGGGTATAATGCCACCCTGGGTAAAACGCCACCCTGGTTATAACGCCACCCTGGGTATAATGCCACCCTGGGTATAACGCCACCCTGGGTATAACGCCACCCTGGGTATAATGCCACCTGGTTATAACGCCACCCTGGGTATAATGCCACCTGGCTATAACGCCACCCTGGGTATAACGCCACCCTGGGTATAACGCCACCCTGGGTATAACGCCACCCTGGTTATAACGCCACCCTGGTTATAACGCCACCCTGGTTATAACGCCACCCTGGTTATAATGCCACCTGGCTATAACGCCACCCTGGGTATAACGCCACCCTGGTTATAATGCCACCCTGGTTATAACGCCACCCTGGGTATAACGCCACCCTGGTTATAATGCCACCCTGGTTATAATGCCACCCTGGGTATAACGCCACCCTGGTTATAATGCCACCTGGCTATAACGCCACCCTGGTTATAACGCCACCCTGGGTATAATGCCACCCTGGTTATATTGCCACCTGGCTATAACGCCACCCTGGTTATAACGCCACCCTGGGTATAACGCCACCCTGGGTATAACGCCACCCTGGTTATAATGCCACCTGGCTATAACGCCACCCTGGGTATAACGCCACCCTGGGTATAACGCCACCTGGCTATAACGCCACCCTGGGTATAATGCCACCCTGGGTATAACGCCACCCTGGGTATAATGCCACCCTGGGTATAATGCCACCCTGGTTATAATGCCATATGCCAACGGTGTCATAATAACCAGGGGAAAACCCAAACCATTGGCAAAAACATGGCATTATATCCAGCTTGGCTTATAACCAGGGTATTATATAGGCAGGAAATCCGTTCTGGCAAAAACATGGCATTATATCCAGGGTGGCATTATAACCAGGGTATTATATAGGCAGGAAATCCGTTCTGGCAAAAACATGGCATTATATCCAGAGAGGCATTATAACCAGGGTATTATATAGGCAGGAAATCCGTTCTGGCAAAAAAATGGCATTATATCCAGCTTGGCATTATAACCAGGGTATTATATAGGCAGGAAATCCGTTCTGGCAAAAAAATGGCATTATATCCAGCTTGGCATTATAACCAGGGTATTATATAGGCAGGAAATCCGTTCTGGCAAAAACATGGCATTATATCCAGCTTGGCATTATATATAACCAGGGTATTATATAGGCAGGAAATCCGATCTGGCACAAACATGGCATTATAACCAGGGGCATTATAACCAGGGTGCACTCACTGCACTGTATACTATATGTATTGTCGCCTTCCAATATACTCTCAGGAACACGTGATGAAAGGAGGAATCATTCCACAGATTCACGGTAAGCTTACATTTTGAAATGGTATTGGTGCAAAGTGTATGTAAACTGAGGGGCAAAAGAAACGTCCCCAAAGTAAAATTGTAAAAAACATTTCTTCTGTTTTCGTTATGACGGAAATTTATTTAGGAACACATCTCCCGAACGCATCCCCACGTCTCACAGAAAGGAAATCCACGTGGAGTTTTTTGTAAGCATGAAAATTGCTGTTATTCACGTTTTTTGCATGCTTCTGTGGAAACATACCCGTATGAAAGTACAGTATAAAAATTATGCTCGACTGTTCGAATTCATCACTTCAATACGTTGGACACAAAGAACATGCCTCGACTCACGGCAGAACAGAGAGAACGAGCTATTGGGATGTTGCAGCTGGGCTTCTTCACGGTCACGTTGCAAGAATCATGGGTTGCAGCAAGAAAACCATCACCAGACTGATGACACGCTTCAGAACAACAGGTCGGACTGCAGACAGGCCTAGGACAGGAGACCACCCGTAACCACCCCTCAGGAAGACCGCCATTTACGGGTGCTTCACTTGCGCAACAGATTCCTGACTGTGACGTCATCAGCAACAACCAGCCTTACCCATCCAGTCAGTAGAAGGACCATATCCAGACGACTCCGCCGATTCGGTATCAGAGCCTACAGACCATTCCGGGGCGTGACGTTAACGCGTGAACATCGACGTCGTCGATTGGCTTGGGCACGTAGAGTTCGGCAGTGGCAGCCGCGGAACTGGCGCCGGGTACTCTTCAGTGACGAGAGCCGCTTCCAGTTGAACAAAGCTGATGGTCGGGTACGAGTCTACAGACGTCGGAACGAACGCACAGCACGTTGTTGCGTTCAGGAAGTTGAGACGTTTGGCGGCGGTAGTGTGATGGTGTGGGGGGAATTTGTGGCGAGAGGAAGACTTGTTGGTGATAGAGGGAAACCTGAATGCCCGTCGATACATTGATGTTGTTTTACGACCTGTCGTGTTACCCTTCCTCCAGCAGAATCGAGGCGTGTTGTTTCAGCAGGATAACGCTACTCCCACACTGCTGTTGTTACCCGGAACTTCCTGAACAACAACAACGTAAACGTCATTCCTTGGCCAGCAAGATCCCCGATTTATCACCTATTGAGCACCTATGGGATCATCTCGGCCGTCAGGTTAAGCAACGTCAACATCCCCCACAGACAAGAAACGCTTTGGCTCAAGCTCTACAGGAAGAATGGCGTCGCATCCCACATCACGTGATCAGACGTCTTGCGCACTCTGCACGACGTCGTGTGGCAGCATGTATCGCTGCAAGAGGTGGACACACTCGCTACTGAGGAGTTGGACACTCAAAGACACTCTGTCAGTACTGATGTGCATGTGTTGTCATGATCGAAAACCGGACATTTGAACCTCCTGTGAAAAACGTCACAAAAACTCTACTTACAGCAAATTGTTTCAATTGTTCTGTAATGACAGTCTGCATAATATGTTCAAAAATTATATCAAACATTTCAACATTGAATTGCACGTGTTTGTATCATTTTATGATACAAAAATGATCGGGGACGTTTCTTTTGCCCCTCAGTTTAGAAATCAAACAAGTTGCGTGAGTTGGGTTTGACGTCTTCTAGCAATATTCCCGCAACATCAGAACGGGACACAATGAACTTGACACCTTGTACCCAGTGTGCGAAATAGTTTCCAAATTTGCCAGCCAGTCGGGTCAGCTGTCTCTGAAAGTTACTAGCCCGAAATTTGAATGTAGAAACTAAGCAAAAGATTACAAAAATAAATGAGAATAAGATATTGTCGGCATGACAAGGGTTTCATCATTAAGCTACTAATATGATGAACATTTTTATCAGGCCATACTCTTGCATGATTTAAAAGTGTATTATAACTTAACATGTTGGAGAGAGTGATATATTTACAAAATGACCCCATGAGTGAAATTCACTACCCAGTCGGGCCAATGACTGTGGAGTTTTACTGACCCGACTGGATGTTTACTAGTCACGGGCTAGAGGGCCAGTGGCTATTTCGCTCACTGCTAGTATCCATCTTGAGAATCGAACCCGGCTCTTCGAACCCGACTCAACCACCCCAGCTATACCATAGCAGAGGAAACCAAGAATGAGTGATCGAAAGTTACCGTTGAGGAGAATCGAATCCGATACATCGGCGTGGCTAGCGAACGCTGAAACCACTGGCCTACACCCTAACGACGATACAAGCGAGTTTCGTGACTATTAGGAAAAAAGTGTCGATAGGTTACGGAAAGGGTCGAGTGGCCACGCCAACGATTGATCAGATTTTGTCAATCACAACATCAACACTAGATTTTGCAATGCTTTCTTGGTTATAGGCAAGCTTTATTTCGTCAATCGTTCTGATGGTTGTATTCTGGAATATTGTTTCTTATTCTAAAATATACTAATCAACTTTGCTCAGAGACACCGCGATATTCAAATTATTAAGAAATATCAGTTATTTTTGCTATGTTGTTCAAACGTGCAAATATTGAAATCAGACCACATACCTGTGGTATACGATGGAATCGAATATTTTATGTGAAAACAGTTTTTGGTAAACTTACGTCATTGACAGATTACAATTAAAAATTAAAACAACAATGTCTTTATTGTTTTAACTAAATGCCTATATGTTCACAATCCAATGCTACGTACCGCCATACATAAACATACAGAATTAGGCCCATTTGCATACAGTAATAACTGAGATAAACAGATGTAATTCAACTCATTAAAATTCAGCACCAGACAAGACCAACTAGTCAACCCTGGAGATTCCCTACAAGGGAAGGGAGGTAACTCTGTGTAATCTGTCTGGCTACAGTCTATAGAATCTGTTGGAACCAGATGCCACCTAGAAATCAACTTTCGACAAATTTATATGTCGATTATACGTTATGTCAATTTATGTTGAACAAATCAAATGTAAATCTTTCAGACATGTATTTATAAAAATACGATCCATATATCGTAGCGTAGCGTTAATAAACAAGATCAACATACCAAGGAGACACAAAGATACAATTTCTCATTTATTAGAAACATGTAAATTTTAGTTCGTGTTTTAAGCACCAGGTTGCTTCTGACGTAATACTGGGGGATAATGTCGAGTGTATCTTCAATTCAAGATTGGGGGTCCGTTTGAATTCATGTGTCATTTTCATAAACTTACACTTTAATGATGACACCAGGTGTTTGCTGAAATAAAAAGCGATGTATGATACGATATGGATGTACATCTTTCAATACTTCAATTATTATGCCACGACTGCGGTAATCGTTACATATTATACATCGTATATACTGAAACAAATAATAAACGCAACATTTGTTTTAGCTTCTTTGAAGAGTTTTTCCGATATACCACGGCACATCTAGCTGGTGTTCCTACAATGAAAAAATGAGAGCGATGTATTCGAATTCTCCATTTGGGTACAACGCACGAAGTTGATTTCCAGTGTTTCTTTGAATAAAATCAAATCGGCGAAAACCATTCACATATAATTCGTACACTTGTTACGTTATAATATGTTTCAGTAAATACCAGTCTCAGTTAGATCACTTTTAAAATATGGACAATACTGACGCTATCTGATAATCAATGCAGTGTTAATGGTATATGGAGGGTAACACAGCAGTTAGTATGTCCGGAGTAGCAGATCCCATCGTCTCTTAAACACATTTACAGTACAATGAAAGACAGTGTCCGGCTGCGCAGCTGAGTGTACACCATCGGTCTAAGCTAGGGACACCCGCCCAGTTGTTGACCCCGAAGCATTTCTGTCCTCCGTTGGTCGCTGGGGCTTGTGTTTGTATTGGCTGGTACGGCTTGGGTGTTTCGACTGGTTGATATGGCTTCTGGGTTTTGATTGGTTGATATGGCTGCGCTGTTACGATTGGCTGATATGGTTTTGGTGTTTGGGTTGGCTGATATGGCTTCTGTGTTGTGATTGGTCGCTGTGTTCCTGGCTGCGCTGTGATTGGATTGCTGCCATCGCCCGTAATGGCAACATCTGCGCAGCCGTAGAACTCTTCCTGTAGTCCACATCCGATACACGCCCTACCGTCGGGGTCAACGCCGTAACTGTTACCTGGAGTAGGAATACAGGTGTGTGGGTTCGGAACCGCAGTGGGAAAACAAAGGCAATAATCACGAGAAATAACAAATTTCTGAATAATAAAAGTACCTTATGGGGCGGGGTTTGACAAAGTATTTATCGGTTTCAGTTAAAACATAAAATCTCATTTTGATAATGAAGGAGTCAAACAATGTTTTAAGATATTCAGCAAACAGTTATTTTTCGGCGATTGTTTTCTAGCGATATAATCTGACTGGCTGAAGAAAGTATGTCGACTTTGGGTTTTATGTAATATAAACGTGAAAGGCCTGTTGTTAAATTTCATTATGTCTGTTTAAACATCTCTGGTAAATTGAAACACGTTTTTGAAATTCTTGAAAGGCATTAGGAGGTGGACGAACATGAATACATGACACGTGTTTGTGGATAACAACTTCTTTATACGACGTTTCAGAGCTAATTCTTGCTCCTTCATCACTTGAATGCTGAGTCAGTGCACAGTGTGAGTGAGTGAGTTTAGTTTTACCCCGCACTCAGCAATATTCCAGCTATATGGTCTGTAAATAATCGAGTATGGACCAGACAATCCAGTGATCAACAGCATGATTACGATCTGCGCCATTGGGAACCGATAACATGTGTCAGCCTAGTCAACGAGCCTGACCACCCGATCCCGTTAGTCGCCTCTTACGACAAGCATGGGTTGCTGATGGTACATTCTAACCCGGACCTTCACGGGTAAGTGCACAGTGTGAATACATATAGATAAAGCATGTTTACATTAAACATGTTTACATAAAGTAATCTGTAGCAAAGAATTTCTGTGTGTTTTTGGTTTTTATGTGCAATTATATTTAAAAATTAACACAATTTAGAAATATTCTTTAAGCGCTGACTAAGCTCAAGTGTCGATATTTTCAACAAATGATCAGCTGATAAACTTTCTGATATACTTAAGACAATTTTAAAAATGAACTGTAAAATGAAATAAATCAACTAAAAGGGGGAAACTAAATTCCTATCATCGCAATCGAAGAAAATGACTCAAGTTTACCTGTTTTCCAACGCCACTGAAGAACACACTGAGTGCAGGTGAGACCGGACGGAAGTTGCACGTTTATGTTGAAGGGCCCGGTGTCGCTCGTGATGTAGTATTTGGTGCTGTTACTGTCAGTGAGGTGCAAGACGTGGGCGTCCAGACACTCCTTGGTAGCTGCCTTGGCGGGGTTGTTGTTCGGGCACAATTTGAATTCAAACCAGCCCATGTGATTGGCTGTGACGATGACCTGGATTGTAATTCTGTCACCTGATTGGTAGGTTTTGGAGATGGTGCCTGTCGCGTATTTCCCTCCAGCCTCGTTGTCCCTGGGTCCTTGCCAAGGGTCGCCGCATATTCCGCATTTACCATGATGGACAAAGTTCTCATTCTGAAAAAAATAATAATAACAATGACGACGACGACGATGTCTTAATCAGGACATTTTAATGATAATTTAAATGATGGAGTGACCAGACAATCCAGTGACTGACATTATGACGACCGATGTCCGCGTGGTACGATAATACGCCATTAATAAAATCACATACACCTATCAAGTCGCCTCTTAGCACGGGCAGTGGGGTAGTCTTGTGGTTTAAGCGTTCGCTCGTCACGCCGAAGACACGGTGGTTTCGATTCCCCACATGGGTACAATGTGTGAAGCCCATTTCTGTTGTACCCCGCCGTGATATTGCTGGAATATTGCTAAAAGCGGCGTAAAACTAAACTCACTCACTAGAGCTGAGCACGTCGGTAAGGGTCATTTATTGCTCGGAATCACCCTTTAAGAACCGACCTATGCCTTCTGGTGATATCTTACACATGATTCGGTTTTATCGTCTCTCTAACGTGCCTGTTTATTGATAATTGTTGTTTGTACTCAGCAAGCCTCTCAGACGAGCATAGGTTGGTAAGGACCATTTCTAACCCATTATCCCGTCACGGCGACCCCCTTAAAGAACCTACCTATGCCTTCTGGTGATGCCTAACACAGCAGGATTTTGTAGTATCGTTTCTCTAACATGCATGTTTATTGATAATCTTATTTGAACTCATCAAGCCTCTTAGACGAGCATGCGTCGATAAGGACCACTTGTCCTCCCGTCGCGGCGTCCCCTTTAGAACATACCAAAGCTGCTAGCGATACCCGACTCAGAAGGATTCTGTAGCGTAATCGCTCTAACACACATGTTATTGTTAATTACTATTTGTACTCAACAAGCTGTCGTGTTGATAACTTTCAACGTACATCAGATAAGCTTCGAGATTTGTCCGATGTTCACAGGACCTCACAACGCCACGACCTCAAAACTCTGACATCCGGGGACTTTGCAACAAAAGAGATGATTTGTTGCGCGCGCTTTGTCAACAGGGACATTGACTTGTGAAAACTTTCGGCTGAAATACTGGCGTTTCTGAGGGTACCTGCTATTTCGGTGTTTATTTCGCGGACGTTTACAAAGCGTTTATACTATATAGCAGCACTGCTCGGCAACGTGGAGACTGTTTTGATGAAGATGAGATTTGTTGCGAGCAGTCCCGGTATGCTGAGATAGATATAGGTGTCTGAAAAAGAATGAGATTTTCAGGGTAGCTAGGTCACAGAAACACGTGTTGTTAATGGCACGTTTGTGCTTCCAGCTGAATTTCTGGCCATCCATTCCGTTGTCTTAATCAAAATACCTTTTGTAAAACAACACAGTATACCTATTCCTCCAGCAACCCATCTAACATGTAGTTTTTTTCTCCACGTACAAGGTCACATATAGACTAACAACTAGTCCCTGAAATGAACATATTTTACTGAAAAAAGTTCATAGTGAAAAAAAAAAAAATATAATGAAAAGGAGCCCTGAGACTTTCTTCATTTTTGAAGCTGAGGAAATCTAGACTTGCCACATTTGTGTGGGCTTTCTTGGATATATTTGCTTCAGGGACTGTACGACAGACCAGGTCACGTACAGCGACAGTTACAGGGGCGTAGGTACCATTATAAAAAAGCCCGGGCTTACACATGATTTTTGCTTAAAATATTATTTTTTTCTAATTCTTGCCAAAAATACCTACAATCACATTATCAGAACAATTTAACAAATGGTAATCCATCTATGTATCATATTGACTACAACTAATGGTAGATTACTTTAAGTTCTCTTCCTTATGATTTTAAAATATTGATAAGATAACAACATTTCGAACTTTGAACGTCAAACGATAACACTTCAGGCCCCGATTTCTCGAAACAAACTTAAGTCTGAGTTTTGACTTAAGTTTGAGAAATTTGAGAAAACGCATTTCCCAGAATGAACTGAAACATAGTAGACAATTTGAGTTTGGTGAATAGATTACTAAAGTTGTTTGGGCTTTATTATTTTAAAAATGCAACTGAGTTAAAAATTCATCTGTTTCAAATTGTCAAACTGAGTTTGAAATTTGAGTAAAAACTTTAGTTTGTTTCAAGAAATCGGGGCCAGGTCTCATAAAAAATGAAAGTTGAGTAAGCACTCAATACTATCTAAATATATAGCTTTGTCACCTATCGGGTTTACACGGAAAAGTGGCTTTCTACGCACCTGAGATACACTAGAATGAACGCTTCATGGAGAACGGTGACCTATCGTCTGAGGCACCGAAATTCGCTGAGCAGAGTTGCGTCCCTTGGCCATGCCAGAAATCTATGATTTGGGGATTCGACCCACGGTAAAGCCAGTTAGGTTTCTACTCTTGTCAGCCCCATACCGTTGCTCGCAAGGTTCACTAAAGTGGTAAAAGTCTAAGACCTGCGTTACTTCGGGATTTCCTCCCACGTTAAGCTGACACTCTGTGATATATATCTGGAATATCGTTGACAGCGGTGTTGAACCCAACTCACTCACTCACTCAAGGGCAAATTAGTTGCAGCTCGCCATATCGAGAACTCTTTCCTAGACAACATTAATAAAACCATTACTTTACACAGCCTCGTCACCTGTAACCGCGGGCGCGTGTTTATTGTTTTGCGACCCGTCTTGACTTAAAATGATCGATTTTTGGCATTAAAGGTTCCCCATCCCAAAAATCTTTCACCCCGAAGCCTCCTTGCAGGAAAACATCAAGATTTTGAACAGTTTGTCTACAAAGACATTAGAAATAGTTGAATGGAATAGCACATCTCTGTTACATATGTGTTTGTTATAGTTTGTTGAAATGTTGCCGACGTTTAGGATAATCATACTGTGTTGGAAAATCAGAGGAATATAACGAAATTATAATAGCGCTAAATTTGATTTAAAACCGAACGCGTAGCGTATTTACTGAAGTCATGGTAGATGAATATTATCAACTCACCCATTTTTGTGTACGTGAGTGAGTATGGTTTTACGCCTTTCTTTAAAGCAATATTCCAGCAATATCATGGCGAGGGACAGCAGAAATGGGCTTCACATATTGTACCCATGTGGGGAATCGAACCCGGGCCTTCGGCGTGACAAGCCAACGCTTTAACCACTAGGCTACCCCACCGCCCCGTGTTCGTTAATGGGGTCATATGCAAACATACATTACTGCATAAGCCACCAGGTTGATATGCGATGTCTAAATGATATATGTACAATGACAAAAGCTATTCCCCTTACTAAAACAATTAAAACGATTACAACGAAGTCGCATGCGAAATCCAAGCCTTACCATTCGTGACTAACGCTTAGTCTCTGAATATATATGATACTGATAGAAAGAAATAATTCCTTATAAAATGAAAAGGCCTGGCCCTGAGAAGGGTGAAAAAAGAAAGCTTTTTCAGGCACCGACCGACTACATTCGTGATCACTTGCCCCTTTACGCAATCGGCAATATTCGGCTTGTTCCGGAATAACACGAGTAGTCACGAATGATTCTATATGATTCACGAATTAATCATTTGTTCACGTGGTTTGCGAGTGAGTGTCTGATGATGACCGTCCATACCATGCGGATGTTATACATGATGCTGTTATCACCTGAATTAGCGTCACAGGCATCGATAAACCGGATAAACAATTGATAAACTTACACAGTAAGTTAGGATGGGTATTTGCTTGTATGGACTTAGCTGTAAGGGACTATTATTAATTTATGGCTGGAGGGTACAAAATGAATGACCCCCCTAACTCCCCCAGAACAAAATGGGTGACCCCCCTTAAAATCATCATCACCCCCTAGCCATAAATTATGAACGGTCCCATTATCCAATATTTCTGACTCTACCACTTCTGCGAAACCCTAGAGACCGGCATTCGTAACTACTCGCCTCTTTCCGTGACCTACAAGAAGACGCCATCCGACTTGCCGGAATGACACGAGTAGTTACGAATGCAGAGAACGGGTAAAGTGCCGACATACCTAGATACAGAATCAAGGAGAACCAGCGATCCTATGTCTCTGTCACGGACGAAGGACACAGAGACTGTCACCCTTGTTGGCGTTACTTTATAAAACCATTGTTATGAAACAGAATCGCACTCTGGTGTGTTTATGAAATCCCGTTTATGAATAAGGTCTGTATGTCACAGTCGAATTAAAATCGAATCCCGGTTCGTCCCTTTGTAATTCTTGGTTTTTATCATACCTGTGCTCGTGGGTTTCACAAAAGTAGTAAAGTTGTTTTTTTGTGGGGGATTAGGTCCCCCTTCCCTCTTTAAACTGGATCTCCCTAATGTTTGTTGGGTTTTGTTTGTTGTTTAACGCCGAAATCAGCAATATTCCATCTGTATGGCTATTTGTCTATAGTCGAGTCTGGATCAGACAACCCAGTGATCAACACCGATCTAATGTAATTGGGATACGATGACATATGTCAACCAAGTCAGATCCTGTTAGTCGACTCTTACTCGTAGCATGGGTTGCTGAAGACCTATTCTCGGATCTTCACGGGTACAGAACGTTAGGATTGGTATTTGCTTGGGTGAGATTCGCAAAACATACCTATGAATATTTCCAATATTTCGCTTCATTGGGTGGTTTACCAAGAAGTTGTATTCATACCCGGTTCCTAAACGCACTCCAGTGAATGAAAGCACGTCTTAAACTTCGACAATTTTAAGAGTAATTTTATAATATAATGAATGAGTTGCTTGACGAACAATTCTAACACGGATCTTCACGGGTTCCTCCCTGATGTAACTGAAGTTCAGAGTAGCGTTAAACCCAAGTCACTCACTCACTGTATGTAAATAAAATGTTTTAGATTTAATTAATAGTTTTAAATTTTTATCTGTGACAATCTAGTTTTATAATGTACATTTAATTTGTATTAATCTGTAACTTGATTTAGTCACGATATGGCTGAACTATTGCCAAAGTGACTTTAAATTTTAACTCACTCACTCACTGTATGTAAATTCTGATATCGACTTACATAGTTTCCGCCACAGAAGAGCTGATTGTCGTTGTAGTTGATGGGAGTGTTGAATCCTTTTCTCCACATGGTAGACCTACTGGGAGGGTCGAACAGGTACCCATGCCCCGTCACGAGGGGGCACAACGCCAGCAACAGGCACGACAACAGTAACGTCATTTTCGAGTCCGTGTTCTGGACGATCTGAGATTCAACGCTGGAGGGCCTTGTATTTATAGGTAGGTACTATCCACTTACGATCAAGGGCTTTGTGTACAGGACATTGCTGTTACTTATCTTATCAGAATGCCGTATTGTATTGTAACAATCGTTGTCTGTGAGACGCAAATATGACGCCGGGTTCACATTAGCCAATTAATAAGTTGACGTTTCTGTGTTGTCGTTGACGACGTGCGTTCCCCACGATGCTGTCTCAGACGTGGGAGCTCTGTTATCTTCGAACAACTTCCCTACCAGAATACTCAGGTACGCTGGTAATGTCTTAGCTAACCTTAAAGAACCCGGATGCAGATGGCAACGGCATCGATACCCGCGACGTCGCTGGACGGAACGCTGCATACGTCACATCGACGCGTGTCGTTGTTGTTGTTAAGCTAGAGAACTATTCAGATCATAGTTCATCTGTCTCAAGGATAACTTTGTCATTTATTTTGCATTCCAATTATTGAGATGGGAATGTCTGCTTAGACACAAAAAGAGTGTTGTTTATGCTGAACACGGAGCTAAACTGCCGCTCGAAGTATGTGTTTATATTACACCGGAACAAATCCACTGCTTTGGTCTTAAGGGGAATGTTAAACACCGGCGTTTTTTATATCAAGAGGTTACTGTTTTAGTGTATTTAAGTGCTTTAAGAAATCCCACTGCTCATCTCATGATATATTCATAGAAACAGGCATATATATAGGCATCAAAAGTCAAATAGAATCTGTAAACCGTGTAATTTAAACCCAATGAAAGACGAATATAATTTAACCTGGGTATGTCCATCTTACCTTCTCTGTGAGAATAAGCATTTAAAGGCTGCTTTTTGTACATCATAACATATATTAATTTTGTATCTTTGTTGTTAGACCATTAAAGCCAACCGGATCTCTTGGAACGATTGTCCTTATACATACATTATGCCTTTTACACAGAAAATATTTACTTTGTCAAAATGTCTACTGACTAAATTATGTATACAACTGTACTACTGGCATGTGACCGTTTCAGTGCAGAAAATAATAAAGATAAGAATGATGGTATAAAAACCTAAACCTTTATAGTCAGAGGTTTTGCTCTTTTAGCTCGGGATAAGACAAGTATGAGCTTAACACGATGTACACCGTAAAGCCGCATATGACATATCGAAGGGCGAATCTATAGTTAGCCTTGCCACAGAACCTGCTAACCTTGGTGAACCTCTCTATAGTGTGCGCATACGTGTATGCGTGCGCGCGTGGGTGCGTGTAGGGGAACGGGTGGGTGGGGGTGGAAACAAGGAGTTGGGATAGTGGTTAAACCGTTCGCTCGTTACACAGAAGACTCGGGTTCGATTCGTGGGTACAATGCGTACAAGCCAATATTTTGGTCTCGTGGATATTACTGGAATATTGCTAAAAGCTGGCGTAGCCATGCTCACCCACCGTGACCCTGGGTTCGAATCCGTGTCAACATTTGGTTTACAACACCATATCCGTACGTCAAGGTTTTTCAACAGTGCTGTTAAATGTCTGAGACGTTCACTCCACCCTAATTTCGATATCTCACTGACAATGATATTTGTCGACCTTTGGGGCTGCTTAAAAATTCAGAACGGGCGATGGCGAAAAGCAAAATTTTGACCTGACTGATTACTGGTCAACCGCGCTTAGGTGATGCGGACGCGCGACGAGGTGACATGGGTTTGGCACCCGTACATAGGAACATTCGCCTAAGGCTACGCATGCGTATGTGTGTGTGGCTGCTTGAAATAGCCCAGACTGAAGCTGGTTTTATAGTGCTAGCTCACCGAGATACCACAGTGTGACGTCTTTTGGTACGACGCGGCCGGGAATCGAACCTACAGTGGACCCTCTGCTATCCAAGTGATCGCTCTCAAATCCACCAATAAATTCATGGTGATTTGTCCGATTACTAATATGTATGTTTGAAAACAGTATCATTAATGCTATCAATGGCAATGCTTCCCGGCATCTGTGCGGTGTTTTCCCAAACTGGTAGCGTCTCCGATGATGCAATTAGGCTGGTGTTATAATGCCAGAAATGGGACATAACGGAATACTTGTGCGTCAAGTATTATTTGCTGCCAATAAAGCTGTGGTATTTCTTTATTTCCCACCTTTGCGTAAATCATTTCGCTACTGACCCGTGAAGATCCGGGGTAGAATAGGTCTTCAGCAACCCATTCTTGTCATAAAGGCGACTATGCTTAGTCTCAAAAGGTATGACTAACGGACCGGGTGGTCAGGCTCTCACAATTTGGTTGGACATACGTCATCGGTTCCCAGTTGCGCAGATCGATGCCTGGGCGTCGTTGATCACTGGATTGTCTAGTCCAGACTCATTTATTTACAGACCGCCGCCATATAGTTGGAATATTGTTGAGCAAGTGACGTAAAACTAAACTCTCACCACTCATTCACTCATTCTGTTACCATAAAAATGACAAGCGTGAAACTAACATTGGTATTTAAGAGACGAGCTTAATTCTATGGACAGCTATGTAGGTTGATGCCTTTTGGTACCTGTCGTCGCGTCCGTTGTGGGATCTTTAGTAATAAAGTCCCACCTCTCACTTACAATTTGAGGGAGTGGAGTGATAGAGTTTTACGCCGCCTTTAGCAATATTTCAGCTAAATCACTGTGGGGAACACCAGAATGGGCTTTCACACACTGTATCCATGTGTGAAATCGAACCCCGGTCTTCAGCTTGAAAGGCGAACGCTTTTAACCATTAGGCTAATCTTCTAACCGCCCTCCCACAATTTGAGGAAATTGTTCTGGAGACATATTTTGTAATGTCCATTAAGTCCACAGAAAAAAAATCTTACTCTGATTCAAATATGATATTATTGACAATCGATTATTATTTTTTTTATAAGCACATTATGATCCTGTAAAGAACGAATGCTATGAAATTGTTTTGTCTGTCGCCATTTCGTTCTTCTAGTAAAATGTGGAACCATGAGCGGAACGAAATAAATATATACATGTATTTCAAATTTGATCACTTGCACTCACTCGTTTACTGCAACGTCCTTTTTAAAGACCAGATATAAACCACAACAGATAAACTAACAGTAATCTAAAGTTTACCAACACGGCCTTCTTCCCTCGCCGAGTACTTGTGTAACATTAAGCCTGTTTCTACATTGTCTTGGAAATACTGGAAAATAATTTTTGTCCGTTGAGCACTGATGTTTGATGTGCATCTGCTTTGAGAAGAGGTATATTTTAGAGTTTGCGAGTCCTGTCCCGTTTCTATAAGCTTGCCTGCGGAACTGGAGGAGAGAGAGAGTTGGGTTCCATGCCGCTTTTACAGCATTCATCCAATATCACCTTTTAATTAACCCAGAAATCGCATCCCCAAACCCGGCTCCTATCTGACGAGCGAACCCCTTAATCACTAGGCTACCCAAACCGCCCCTGTCGAAATGGACCTCCGTGGAGTAACAACCACCACCTCCTTCCACCTCCACGTACCTAGAATCTGAAGTTTTTACTTAGATTGAGTTATCCCAAAAATAGTGTTACATTTAATTTCTTTTCTATATAAGCAAGCAATCAGAAAACAGGTATTGTATATTCCTATTACCATCTGGTTGTGTGTGTTGTATACCTCGTTTAATTGGCCAGTATAATCTTTCACGAGGTTTATCTACACATTAAACAATGAAACCGGACGCCCTGTATTCGGATTCAAATGCACCCTGTAACCGTAAAATTTTAATTCTGGTCAAGATCTAATTCTTATCTAACGCGTCATAAGCATCGATTAGTCATCTCAGTTTAACACCTTTATCAATGACCGGAAAGGCGGGGACTGTATACTCTGGATATCGATTGTCATCATTCCAATCTCTAGAGGTTAGGTGGAGCCTTCACACACCAATGATCAGACAGTAGGTGGCGCTTTCACACTTAAACAGGGTACCTGCTGACCGCGCAGAGCGACTCCAACATGGGCAGTGTTCAAGTTACTGGTGTATGTGGGAACAAAGAGTGTTCTTACTGCTTAACGTTGATCTAAAATATTCTGTATATATTGTGGGGTGGGTGTGGGTGTGTTTGGACCAAACCAGCCAGTGATTGACATCATGAGAATCAATGCACGTCGTTGGCGTACGCTGATACGCTGTCAACCAAGTCACCGAACCTGACCACTAGATCGCGTCTTCCGACCTGGGTGAAAGCATTTGGGATCAATTCGAAGGAACTTAGTGCATGGAACGCATCAACAGGATAAGGTGAGTTGAGGTGAAACGAAGCTTCAGGGTCGTAGAATGTGTGTAAGGTTCAGTGCGCATGTAAGGTGTGTGTACAAACATGGAGTGAGGAGTCAGTATGGTTTAAGCCGCTTTTAGCAATACTCCAGCACATTACGGCGGGCCTCCCAGATTGTTATAACTTGAGGACAATGTACACCGCTTTATCCGCTTACATGCTGAACGCCAGGCAAGGTAATAACAAGTACCATATTTCAGCGTAGTTTTCATGCACGCCAAGGGGATCGAACCACACAGTCTATCCAATAAGCACCCTGAGGTTGATGAAAACCATCAGTGCGTGAGTGAAGGTTTTACATAGTTTTAAAAACGTTAATTCAGTCTAAAACGGCTAGAGAGATATTATATAGTTTTTAAAAGCACAGGAAATGGATGTGGTGGCTATAATGTGTCATCTCTCGAGGCGCTGGAATTAGTTTCAATAAAACAATATGCCCTCACTTTCACCCTGAAACAGAGTTAACAGAAGCGGTAAATAGAGCCATTGGTAAAACACTCTGGGATACCTTCCGCAAAACATATGCATTGGCTGTACCTTCATAAAAATAATAAGTAAACTCTCGAAGGAAAGCAAGAGTTCTTCGTCTTATGTGGACAAGAAATGCCTATACGTAGAAATATGCTTCTTATATTTGGCCTTCAGAGAAACCGTCCATTAATCATGTTTGTGTCTCCGTTTAGATTCAATGTAAGAATAGGTCCCTAACACCCCATGTTTGTCTCTCCGTTTAGATTCAATGTAGGAATAGTCCCTAACACCCCATGTTTGTTC